ATACGACAACGACCAAAGAATAGTATGCACTTGTGCAGTGCTATCCACTGGAAAATGTTTTTTTAATTGGAACTAGCTAACAAAAAATCAGAGAGCGTTTCGAAATTCACTGACAATAAAAAACTATCTGGGAATATCTTTTTGATAAGCTTAGAAAAATTATTGTCCAGTGGATAACACTATTCTAGTCTGCAAAAACAATATCTAAAATTAGAAAAAGAATCCTATTTATGAAACATAGCTAATACAGCTAAAACAAACACGCAACATGATTACAGCTGTTCCTCATACAGAAATGATTTTCTTATTAAAATTGACATCTATAACAAGGTAATTGATTATTGACATCAAAGAAATAGTAAACTTTAGGATGGTTGATGGTTCATATCTATTTAATGCAAAACGTACGATCACCACAATTACGCATGCTGAAATACCTCATAGCACGACGTTCTTGTTAGTTTCATAATCAATAGAACAAAACTATCCTTTCGCTTTTCACATTTCTTAACCTTTTGGCCATAAATTTCCAAGCTGAATGGTCGTTGTAGCTGCAACGAGCCTCATTGTTTGTTGCGCCAGAGAAAAGCCCATTTAAGACAACAGCTACTTCGCTAAAGTCGTAATTATTGTCACGCACAATTAAAACACACTAAAATCAACTTACTTTGATAACAGATAGACAGTTAATGATAATTTTAATCCTATAAACGCACAAATTTACCAGAGTGTATCTAACTGTCGCGAGTCGCGGGTCTAAAAAACACTTTTTTTGCATGGAAAAGTTTGAAAGAAGTACTTCTATGTATGCCCACTTGAATGTGCTCTATGAATCAAAGCTATCTGCCGTATCATTAAAATACGTCACTGGTGCTTTGGATATTTAAGATTTGTGTTTGTCATACCTATCCAAATATACAAAACGATGCGTTGTTAATACGACGAATTATTCTTAATTTTGTGGACCGTTAAAATTCTCTTACAATTGAAGTTGTAAAACCCAGTTCATAAATTATAAGATGTAGTTTATTTATATGTATAACTTGCACTTTCACACGACTATAAATTTGCTTTTCTCAAGCAGCTATGTTCTTCATTACCATTAAAAGAGTTGTATTCAAGTAAATCTTGAAGGGTTAGTTATGCTTGGAATGAAAAGCTAACTATGTTTTCGATAGTGATTAGTGGATATAATGTATGTATATTAATATTATATTTGGATACATAGAACAAAGACACATTGCCTATGAATCAGGATTTTACGCAACGCTTATGAGGTATTTCTATTGACAACAGAGAACGTGTATCTTATAGACATTGGCTCTAAGTGTAGAGTACAGTCATAACAAATATCAGCCATTAATTCAAGATTTATTTGGATGCAACTCATGCAATGGATATAAAACATGTTATTGCTAAGTACAAAAACTTATCAATCGTGCGCAAGAAAAAATGGAAGCCGGTTTTACTTATATAATCTATCCATAGCTTATGAATTGTGATCCTTAACGAAATGTGTTTACAACTTGAAGTGGATGTACGGAGTTTTTAACGTTAATGTCCGCAAGCCTTGCAGCCTCTAATTATAGAATTCACATACTGGGTACATTGGGTGTAGATAATAACATGTTTACATTTTATATAAATTTTTACTTGTTTAAGAAAAGTAAACGATAATTGATATATAGTAGTAGTCAGAAAAATTAAATATAGTTACAATTAATAATTGACGGTCTCATACGTTATTAAGACTCGTACACAACATACATGATACGAAATTACAATCTAGAGAATTACGCTTAGTTACAAGACTTTAAAATAAAAATTATGTGCAACAAATAACGTTAAGAATGACTACTTATGTTGCTTGTCTCATTAAATTGAAGCAATTAATTGAAGTCTATAAGATTAAATTATGGCTCATGTTATTAAAGGAATATTTTAGCGATAAAAGAATTTGTTGAACAAACCACAGCACTTTTTGTGACAGAAACATATATCACGACAAAATTCCAAATGAACGTTTAGCAACAAAGATTTCATCGATTTCAATTATAACAATCTTCTCTTTTCACCAATAAGTCAGTGCCATATTGCTTTTCCACCACGATCCCCATAAGGAAAAAGATCTTTGCACGTAATGTTGAAAGCCCACTGGATATTTATCACAAATAAGATGTAAAGTGTATCTTGACTCTCACTATTGCCATTTGATGTTTTTTTTTTATGTTGTCAATGTGATTAGTTTTCGTCATAGTGAATATGTTAGTTTGTTCGTCTTTCTAACAATTATAGCTAACACCCAGCACAGCAAAATAAAATGTATTTAAAATTGTTAATTATCGTTACATTATTTGTTTGATGTTTTGGAAGGTAAATTACTTGTAGTTTATATAGTCACGAAATGAATATTTAACTGGATGTCTTTTAATAAGTACAAATTACATAGTTAAGGTTGTTAAATTATAAGTATAGTTCTAAACGAATTGATCGCCATATTTCAGTAACGCATTGGTAGGTAACAATACAAAAATTTAATCACAACACTTTTAGTCTACTTCTTTAAACATTTATTTAACAAAAAAAACATCAAATGATTCCGGTACTGATCAAATTATCTTTCAACAAAAACGAGCTAAAACAGAGTTACAAAAAGAAAATTGTTTAAAAATTGACTTCAGGCGATGTTTTTGATGAAGATTTTTATAAGTTGTATTTCTCCTTCAGTTGTTTTACGGCCTCACTGAAGGTCACATTTTTCCAACTCGAAGGTATTTTTGCTTCCTTTGCTTCATAATGTTCCGCCAACTGTTTCGAGAACTTTACCATAAACCATTGCCAATATTTAGAAGCTTCAAATGTGGGATCTGGAGGAATTTTCCACGATTTGTAGTAATCGTTTACTGACTGATAATCTTTGTAGGGACGTGGTTCCCAATTTGTGTCAACGTTTTGAAATGTTTCATTTCCAGCTACTTTAAATGTGCAAATATCGGAAACCAAAATCTTAGTGTTGATATAGCGATAACCTGTCAAAGCCAAAGGACGGTGTATTTCTGTTGAGTATTGTTGGTGCATTTCTGTCTCATTTTCATCGTCGTCTAAAAGGTTGGATTGCTCCATAGTCTGATCACACAAAGCTTTACAAAATGGACAAACAGCCCGACACCCAAACAATAACTTTGAACGCCTTTCGTGGGGTGCTGGCTGCCAATTACTAATAGTTTCACTATCCAGTTCAGCATCAGTTAGGGATTGTACAAAGTTTTCGACAAACTCACGAACTTTTTTGTCAAATAAATCAGTTTCTTTTAAATCTTCATCCATTGTAGCGACACCAAACATTTCTTTCGTGATGGCAAGAGAAGAACACTGTTCCACAAACTTTTTAATCCAATTCGTTACTTTCCAACTCTCGCTTCCTTGTTCGATTTCATCTCTAGCTTGCTCATTTGCATCTTCAATGGCAGAAAAAATATTTGACTTCAGCTTCTCTCCTTCATCTTTTAATAGAGATCGCACCAGTTTCGATCCTGTGTTCAAGCAAAAGTCTTCCACGTATTCCTTTAATTTATTTTCCAAAAATTGAATAGGATTCTCCAAATAAGGAACAAACAATTCAAAACTAGGGTTTTCTCCAAGTTGTATCAAAACACTGGCATGAAAATGAGCCTTGCTACTAAACATGTTCTTTGTCGAAAGCTTAGTATCAACTGCTGTTATAATGCCTTTGTTAAGTTCTGACATTATTGGGTCACGAAGCACATCAACCAATGACGTCGCAGCCAAAACTTCTTTCTCCATCTCTTTGCAAAGGTTGATAAAATACTTTTCCAGCCTTGGTCTTAATGTTTTTTCAAGATTCTTTTGAATATCACGCTCTTCAAGATAACGGTCTTCCATTTTATCAAAAATAGGAAAGGCACGGGCAAATGTGTATAACAGTATGTCACATACTAATGGTTTTTTAAACTTCATTTTCTGTTTCTCTGTTTCTTTATCAATAGTAGAAATGATTTCATCATACATTGTTATAAGATCATTATTGGTAAATCTAACAGCAATGTTCGAAACTCTCTCTGCAAACTGCTCTCCCTCAGAGATAACTTTATTTCTGATAACATATGCCCTAGACACAGCATCGTGTATGAACCAATGATACATGTTTTGGACCACTTTCGAACCCCACCCACCAATAAATGCAAGCATATTTCTATCAATGACAGGATCAGCATTAAAAAAAGCAGAAATTCTATACTCTTTTGGTTTTAGTTTCGTTGACATCTCAGCACTAAGATCAGAATTTTCTGGTAGAAGAACATAAACCATAAATTCATTGACATCACGCTTTACTTCCTCACAAAGGGGAACTTCGCCAATCCATTCTTTCCATCCTTTTTGAAATGCTGCTTTACATTCTTCTTCGTCATTTGTTTTTTGAGATGATACTAAATTTTTTGCTCTGTCCAAAAGTTGTTTTTCATAATTTTTTTTCCTTTCTTCAATATCTTGTTGTTGCTGCAGATGGTGGAAGGTTGCCTCACAATTTTCTATAACAGACGCTTCCTGATTTCGTTTGAACCTTCTAATTTTATCCATCACGTCTTCTTTCCATTGTTCAAGGGTAGATTTATCTTCACTGCTTTCAAAAAACATCTGCATTTCTTTCTCCATTTTCGTCTTGAGTTCTTCTGCCTCTGCAAATATACGTTTTTACTGCTCATCCAACATTTCTTTCGTTCTTTCGTGTAGTGCATCTTTTCAAGTCTCTTTCAATACTTCTTTCAATTTCAGCCATTCCATTTACCATTAGTTTTACTGATTCTTTGAAAAGTTTTTGTCTAATGATGCATAAGCTCTGATTTCGATCACATTTCGGAAACTGAAAATGAAGTTTTCCTTTAGCATGGCTTGCCATAGATCTTTAACTCGTTTACGGAATGAAGAAACAGTTAGCTTGACCACTTCTTTTGAGCACATTAGCTGAATAATATTCTCCTTTACTTTTGCAAGTCTCTACCATAATTTGGGTTTATCGGAGCCATGGGAGGACTTCCTTTCAATAGACTTGGTATGTAAAATACGTCTTTATTTTCGTCAAATGCAATGATATCATCTAACTTTTGAAACTGATCATCACAATTTTCTTGTATTGCTGCAAGCCTTGCCATATGGTCTAGATTTTGCTTCAGATTTCGCCTATCCATCATTAACTTATCTGCAGCGTCATTAGCAGCAACATTTTGATGGACGATCTTCCATGATTTCTTACTTTTCACAAGTTTCATTTTTAAGAAAGCATGAACAGCCATCGCCAAAAACTCTTTAATTTCATTATAGTTTTCACCAAAGATATTGACAATCGTGACATCAGCCACACCAACAGCAAAAGTTGCCAATTCATTATCGTGTTCTCTCACTATTGGGTCAGCCATTCCTTTCAGACCTTCAGTATCAATGATCAAAACATAATCAAAATTTGAGTCACATTTAAGTTGATCACTAAGTGGAACAAGACTAGCAAAAGCACCACGAGTACATCTTCCTGCACTTACAGGAAATTCTAAACCAAACATTGTATTTAACATTGTCGATTTACCGGAACTTTGAATACCTAACACAGAAATGACGTAAATGCTTGCGTTATTTGTTTGCATTTCTAATTCTTCATAAACAGCATTAAACCATTTCATTGGTATGTAACCTGAATCACCATCCAGCAATTCCAAAGGCTCTCCGGAAAGAAGAATTTTTGCTGCAGCACCAACATAATCATTCACTGCAATATCAGTAATCTGATAAAGTTGAGCAACCTCTCTAATGATATGCTCCAAACCAAATGAAGACTTTAATATCAATTTTTCCAGTTCATTTAAATTCTTTTCTCCCTCGGTTTGTGAATCTGGCTTATCATTGTGCATATTTTCGGTAGGTTCTTTAACAGAAAGTAATGCCCGACGATATTTTTGATGTAAATCTGTCATCACAGATAGAGAAGCTTTGTCTAATAAATACTTCAAATGATGCAAATTTCTAATCAGCTCCTGTTCATTCATTACAGCTATGGAATTAAGGAATTTAATAACACCTTTGTTCATACTTTTGAAAGATTCAATCTGAGCCATTTTTTCATTTTCCCGTTCGTTGCATAATTCATTGACAACGTCTTTTCGTTTAATAGTGGTACGAAATGTTGGATTATGTATCTTTTTTTCTAAATCTGCTAAATTTGGTACATGACCTTGTAGCTTAAACAGTTTTTTTGAATTTTGAATCCCATCAGAAATCCAAGATTCCACAGTTTTTTCCAATTTGGCATAAGCTGGGTCGTCATCAAAGTAAACATCACTTTCCTTTGAATGGCATTTGAGATTTGCTAAAGATTTCAGTTTACTTTCTTGCTTGTTACTGTCCTCAGCCTCTTTTATATTGCTTTGTATAACCTTGCGAATATAATTGAAAAATTCATATTCATTTGCTTTAGATGCTTTTGTACAGGAAGACAATTTTGTTCGATGACACTTCTCTAAATCTTTGTAGTACTTCTTCACTTCTTTTTGCCTTTTTTCGTTAAAAATCAGCAGTGTTTTACCTTCAGACATTATAGCTTTATCCAAAAAATTTCTCATGCGTTCGTCAGGCATTTTCGAAGGCAATAAAATACACAAAATGTTTGATATCTCTCGAAGTACATTAACTTGCTTCTTGAAACTCTGAGCATCTCCGCGTAAATTAGTAAAACAAATTTCCTTTTGCAAAGAGTTCTCCTTGTTTCCACCAGGAAGATACCACACAAGTTCAACTAAACCTTCCACGACTTTCCTTTCCACATCACCACCTTTGATGTTTTTATGAAAAAAGAAATCATGATCACCATTACCATCACTGATAATCTTGTTCATTAGGGACGATTTGGACATGGTCACATTTCCCAGCCGGATAAAAGACACTACGGGAAACGGATGTTCAGTTGCGTAGACAACTTTAGCAGAGTCTTCGGAAGTGGCATCTTTCCAAGATTTTGTTATTTTTTCCAACGCTGAAAGCAAGACAGTTGGGTTTTTTGCTGGATCATCAGGATCAGGTAAAATGAAAGGCACGCTAAGCTGACATACACTAAGTTTTACAGCCAGATCCCGTCGCAAGAAATCGTCTGAACTATGGAAAAGTCCCATCAAAGCATCCATAGGATTAATTCCTTCCACAGCTTCACTTTCATTATCACTATCATCGGACTCATCTTCATCATCGGACTCATCTTCATCATCGGATTTATCTTCATCTTCCAAACTTATATTTTCGACTTCATTGGATTCAATTCCATTTTCATCCTTGTCATCGCTATCACTTACATCAGTACCGTTACTTGATTTTATAACTTTACTTTTTTTTAATGGTTCCAGTTTAAATTCACGTGCTTGGTGATTAGCCATCATTAACATTTTAAGAATATAACTGGGAATTTGGTCATGAGAAGTCAGTTTGTCGTCAGTAAACGTTGCAACAGTACGTGCATGTTTCAATGTAAGTTTTGTTTTAAGACCTAAACGTTCGCATAGTTCAGATAATGCCTTTTGTTTTGTTTTATGAGAAGTCTTTTCTTTTTTATTGGGAGTTACACCCAATTCGAAATCCTGACGAAATTCTTTTGGGCCTAATTGAAAAAAAACATATAGACTGACCTCCAAAAATTTAGCTGCTATATTTAAAATTTGTGTACTACACAGCACACGCCTTAAAAATAACGACTATGATTAATTTTACCCGTAATTTAGGTGTACCTGTGCTTTTGTGTGTTCAAAATCAACCAAAAATTTACAATAGCTCAAAGCAAGGCGATACTGTATATTGCGAAAAGAAAGCAAAACTTTATGCCACAGTTTGACACTGTTTCAAGGAAACCCAAACCATCAAAATAATAATTTGATCTATCTAAGATAAACACAGGCAGTTGGGAAAATAATTTCACAGAGAGATTGGCCAAACTAAATATCGCAAGCTATTGGTCGTGAAAAAGGGAATTTGGTTTCAACAAGTTTACGTCATTGCATGTCCATATTTTAACCGCATGTTCTCCAATTGCTGTCTAGCTTTGGCAATTTTGTGCGCAACCTTTTTTTCAAAGTGCAAATCTTTTCGGCCCGCAAATTTTTTTCCAAAGTTTTTCAATCCAGCTTGATGCGATAGATATTTTCAGCCGCAGCTACAACTAAATCTAGTGCGCCTTGATATAATACCCTCAAATAATAGCTAGTGTACATTTGCGGTAATCGTCGTCAAAAATACAATCCATTCAAGGCGCAAACGTTTCTCTTTCATTTCAGCTTTAAGCTGCTTATGTTCATATAGATAAGAATCGTCATTGGTTTCAAATTTTACAAACACGTTTAATTTACTCAGCGAAAATACGAAATTGTCACCAGGGTTACAAGATGCTATTTACGGAGAATCTTTCCATGTTTTTAACGGTTTCGTTATAACACTGACGATTTAGCGTGAATCGAATATGAAACTATTATGACCATATTCAAGCCTTAATCCAATTGTTCTAGACTATACTATCATTTTCATTCGTTTCCTTGTTTTTTTTTTGTCTTTTTTGAGAATTGTAGCTACTATTAACAAAAATTGTCCAAGTAAATTGTTGTGAAGTGCTAATGAAGTACCCATACCTCCCCCTTTCACAATCCACTTGCATTGGCTTTGGGCGTAGTTTAAAAAGGCCAGTTTCCGTGCCGGTTATAAAACAAAACACTCTGGCACGAAATGCAATCCGGTAGCTATGTTGTGAGACCAGCATAAATCATCTTATATCTTATGGCTCATTACAAATGTATACGTACCCTTCACACAATGGACGCTCTTATTCGAGGCGTTTTCTTTTTCAATCTGGATGATGTTATCTTTGACGTTTTCAACGTTTTTTCTTTTCTCGTTCTTCTCTTTTATGCCAACATCAGCCAAACTGTTTTCCTCCGTAGTTTGCTTCGAGTCTCTCTCAACTACAGACAAAAAAGCTTTATCTTAATTCCTATTTTTTTTGTCAAAACTGTGTTACATAATATTATCGGCTTCGCCAGTAACGTAGCCAGCAAAAAATGGTTGGTCCTACTCTAGAAAAACGATTAGGAAGAATAGTATAGCTGTAAATTAAGTTCAAAAATAATTATTTGGTACTTTTCTTTTGTGAGAAAATTTTCTATTTGGTCACTGTTTGGTCAAAAATCTGGACCAAAGTCTTAATCTTTTTTTACTGTACGTCTCTCTGTATAGCAGAAGTAAGCATGTATTAGCTACAGAGATGTAGCCCAAGCTAAATATCAGATGCTATAATGGTTAGGTAAGAAAGGGATTGGCTTTAATGAGCTTAACTCAATGTGCAAAATTGAAGCAAAAAGAAGTAATCAGTTGGAGGACAACAAAAACAATGCCTTAGTCTGTTTAGAAGAATATAAGAAAAACAGAAGGTAATTCTTGTGTTTTCTGATGGTTAAACGGTTGAGAACATGAGACAAGTCACAATGCAATTAGCTTTACAACAGCTCAAGCATATCCATGCCAATGACAATCGTGCAGTGATTGAAGCAGTCCCTTGGAAACACTGAAGTTATTTATCGTGAAAAGGCGACGATTGTATAAAATGCAAAAACAACAACCAGAAATATTGTTACAAATCGCATTGCTCACAAAAGTTATCTTAGATAGCATAAAATCAAATACCAACTTTGAAACATTGCAAGAAAAGACATCTGCCATGATTTTATGTTACTAGCATTTCCCAAGGATGCGGCAAAAATTAAAACCATTTCCGATCTTTTTTGGTTTCAGGAAAATCAAAAGTCTTCTAAATTTTACCGTTAACAAAGTTTTTTAAAACATGAAGACGTTTGTGCAATACTATTTGAATGGCTTTTTTGAAGTAGAATTCTCCTACGATATTTTGGACATCTGCTTCGACCTAATGTTGAGAATGACGAAGAAAGTTAAAATCCTTATTTTTATAAAGGTTATGAGAACTATTATTCTTCCAGAACGTAGTGTTTTTGCACAAAATTGAGAGAAAAACAGCTAATGTAGATCGCGCATTAAGTCCAACTTCAAAATATCCTGCATGTTAGAATAAAAAGCGTCTCCCTCGAAGAGTTTACTACTGAATCAGCTCTTGAAAATGGTTGTCTAGTGAAAAGAAACGCCATTTACAGAGATTAATTTAGAAATCGACAAGTCCTTGCGGCTCTCGGATAAACTTAGCCGAAATGCAGAGACGCTTCACCGTGTAGCCCCAAGCAAAAAAACTGTGGCATAATGACCTCTTCCTGTCGTTTGGCAATTGGTAGGGTATATCCCTTGAAAGATAATAATGACTGGATGCGACTTATATTACTCCCTTTGTTTACTCAATAATACTGACAGGCAAAACAGTGCTTGTATAATTTATAGTATTTTCATTTTGTTTATTGTTGGCATCGAACAGACCCATGCATATGCAGCCTTGCTTTGATGCATCCGTGAAATATAATCTTTCTTGAGAATGACGAAGAAAGCTAAAACCCTTATTTTTGTAAAGGTCATGAGAACTATTATTTTTCCAGAACGTAGTGTTTTTGCACAAAATGAGAGAAAAACAGCTAATGTAGAAGTTTTTCCAAAACTTAGCCTAAATGCAGAGACATTTGACCGTGGAGTCCCGAGCAAAAGAACTGTGGCATAATGACCTTTTCCCGTCGTTTGGCAAAAGGTAGGGATGTGCCTTGAAGGATAACAAGGCCCCTTTCAGTTCAAGAAAATTGATATGAAAACGTTTCTTTACAATATTTTCATTTTGTTTATTGTTGGCATCGAACAGACCCATGCATATGCAGCCTTGCTTTGATGCATCTGTGAAATATAATCTTTCTTGTACGTATTTCGGAGTACATAAAAGTTGACTGTTGTGTCGCTATTTTTAACAAAATTTGTTGACTTTTCCGAACAAGTGAATTATTGGGATGCAAAGATGCAACACTCACACCTTCCTTGCACAAACTTCAAACGACTTTGTGCCAGGTGTACGATACAATCCAACACAAAAAGCAATCTGGTATGTTTTTAAGCCCGATAAACTATCCTATAGTTTCTCGTTCATAACAAATGAAAACGTACCCGTTACATGATCAATGCTATCATTTGACGTGTTTACGTTTTCCTCTTTGATGATATTATCTGCGATGTTCTCCTCGTTTTTCTTTTCTTTGTCAAAATCATTCAAATAATTTTTCTCCGTGGTTTGGTTAGATTCTTTCTCAACTAAAGACAAAAAAATTTTTTGAAACACAATTTTATCATGCAGCTTTTTTAGTAGCATAGACAGCGAAAAATCAAAATATCTTCTCGTCAGCACCCAAGAGAAAAGGTGGTATATGCAGAGCAACATCGATTGCATACAGTTAAAAACACTATTTCCAACCTTCTGATGTATTAAAGAAGGAAGATTCAGCCATTCGCTTCTGATAACATATAATACAATTTGAAGCACAATGCAGAAATGCATTTGCTAAAACGGGGCTGCACAGACAGTGGTACGTCAAAATAAACTACTGCAGCTCATTTTAGAAAATATTTAGGTTAGAGGCAATGCCATTAGTAAAAATATATTCTTTAGAAATTCAAAACCAATAGTGTTTTTTTTAAAAGTATTTTCACTTTTAAATTGAGCAGCTATAATTTATTTAGACAAACGCTGGATACGCTACTGCTAAAAGCGGCCAGTATTGTCATTTTTAAAGTATACAGATTTAATACATGGAATTTGAATATATAATAACGATCTACTTAGCCATACATTGTACAAGTGAAAGATTAAGTTTCTTTCATAGCCGTAAGCACTTGTTGATCGACAAGAGAACGACATCAACAAATCACCCAAAATATCTATTGTGTCCCTTAGAGTTAACAGTCAAACTACGTAAAGCAATTGTAAACATATGTCATTTCGATTTGATAAACAACTGAAAATCTACATGAATATACGCCACACAAAAGGTTAACACTGAATAAAAAAACTGCGTTTTTTTACGTCATTATTTAAGATCATTTTTCAAAATAGAGAAATTTTTTGAACCTATTCTGCGTAATGTCATTTTCGGAGCCGTAAACACCCCAAAAATCCCATTGTGCATTACCAAGTCAACAAATAAAGCCAAAATATTAGTGCTTGTCATCGAACTGAGCGACAATATGCTTGATGACGTCAAGTGTACACCAAGAATTATCCAATAAACGCGTTGTATTTATACATGCATTTCTTACATACTTGATTTTTGGTTAAAATAGCTGGAGTGAACACAAAATTCGGGTGGTTATTACAGATTTCAAAACATCGCTACATTAAGCTCTCTAATGTTAAAGTGCCACGATATTTTCAAGCAATATAAAATCTTTAAAAATATGTAAACAATTCAAATATTTCTGGAATCAATGCAATACTAAAGCCGAGGAGAGAGTAACAAACTCATATAAACAAAAAAGAAGATGTCAGATTGCATTCACCAGGAACCTATACACAGGCACGTCAAATACGTCACATACTCGTGCACAAAAAATACTACTCCAATTGTTATTTATGCCATTTTGAGATTTAAAATGAGAAGTCTTGTGAGATAAAATGTCGGAAAAGAGTTAAAGGCACTTTAGAAAATGTCAAAGACTTAGTTTTATATTTAAATAAGAATCTTAGAACAAATAATTATTATGATTATTTATACCTCGTTTTCGAATCGTCAAGGTTTGTTTGTCCTTAGCTCTTACATCAGAAAGGCTTTCTGCGTGGTCGACTTCATCGTTTTGCTTTTCTTTGTGGAAATTATCCAAGGTCTTATTGTCCATGTTTAGTTCGGATACTCCTGCATCTAAAGAATGAAGTTATTTTTGATTTTAAAATTTACTGAATTTTAATTTTTCTTATAAAAATTCGAATATCAAAATGATTGCGATCGACAATTTCACTGATCAATTCCTACGTCATTGACATGCACTGCAATTTTAATGTTCAGAAATAACGTCATGCATATATTTATGATAGACATTCCTTTCATGAGTTAACAAGCTGCAAACAAGCAACATGCAGCTCGGAACTAAAAGGTTCCCAATGAACGGGTGATGTTAAGCTTATAGAACTTTTAAAATCAAAATTTTAGAGTTGGGCTTGAAGGTCTTTATTAATACTTTTTGATTCTTAGTAAAACAACATTACACGAGTAATTTTTTATTAGAATATAACTATTTGCATAGGACAATTTTCAGGAAATGGATGTTCTTTCGCGAAGATCACTTTAACAGAGCCGCTTGTCGTAGTATCTCTCGAAGACTTTGTTATTTTTTCCAACGCTGAAAGTAAGACTGTTGGCTTTCCATTGGATCAAAATGATCCGGCAAAATAAACAGAACGTTAAGTTGACATGCACTCAGTTCAACAACTATTTCTCGTCGTAGGAAATTATTAGAGCAACAAAAAATTGCTAACAAAGCATCCACAGGGTTTTCACCTTCAAGAATTTCAGTAATTTATCTGAGTCAAAGTCATTTTCTTTGCTCTCGTCGTCACTATCACTTGCATTAGAACCATAACCATTTAATTTATTGCATACTTTATCAACTTTCTTTGAATTTAATGGTTTCAATTTACATTCACGTGCCTGATAGTTGGCCATCATTAGCATTATTTAGTCATTAGCATAGGATTTGGGATTTGGTCATGAGAAGTCAGTTCATCGTCATTAAACGTTCCAAAAGTACGCGCATGTTTTAATGTAAGTATTGTTTTAAGACCTAAACGTTCGCAGATAATGCCTTTCATTTTGTTTAATAAGAAGTCTCTTTTCTTTTATTGGGAGTTACACCTAATTTGAAGGTAGTCTGACAAATTTTTTTTACACCTAATTGGAAAAACATATAAAATATTTACAAACAAATAACCATTGCATTTTAATTTGGGTATACTACACGTCCTACAACAAACTACTAAGATTAATACTAACTGTAATTTAAGCTAAACATCGACATCCAAGATAATATGATAGTGTTACAAAAAGATCCAAATCATAAAATTTGATATAATTTGATCTTGCTAAGATTAACGAAGATAGTTGTAGAATACGGCCTACATTAGTAGACCTTTGAAAATCCAGGTAAGCATGTAATAGCTACAGAGATGTAGCCCAAGCTAAATATCAGATGCTATAATGGTTAGGTAAGAAAGGGATTGGCTTTAATGAGCTTAACTCAATGTGCATAATTGAAGCAAAAAGAAGTAATCAGTTGGACGATAACAAAAACAATGCCTTAGTCTGTTTAGAAGAATATAAGAAAAACAAAAGGTAATTCTTGTGTTTTCTGATGGTTAAACGGTTGAGAACATGAGACAAGTCACAATACAATTAGCTTTATAAAAGCTCAAGAATACCCATGCCAATGACAATCGTGCAGTGATTGAAGCTGTCCCTTAGAACCACTGAAGTTATTTATCGTGTTAAGGCGACGATTGTATAAAATGCAAAAACAACAACCAGAAATATTGTTACAAATCGCATTGCTCACAAAAGTTATCTTAGATAGCATAAAATCAAATACCAACTTTGAAACATTGCAAGAAAAGACATCTGCCATGATTTTATGTTACTAGCATTTCCCAAGGATGCGGCAAAAATTAAAACCATTTCCGATCTTTTTTGGTTTCATGGAAATCAAAAGTCTTCTAAATTTTACCGTTAACGAAGTTTTTTAAAATATTAAGACGTTTGTGCAATACTATTTGAATGGCTTTTTTGAAGTAGAATTCTCCCACGATATTTTGGATATCTGCTTCGACCTAATGTTGAGAATGACGAAGAAAGCTAAAATCCTTATTTTAGTAAAGGTCATGAGAACTATTATTCTTCCAGAACGTAGTGTTTTTGCACAAAATTGAGAGAAAAACAGCTAATGTAGATCGCGCATTAAGTCCAACTTCAAAATATCCTGCATGTTAGAATAAAAAGCGTCTCCCTCGAAGAGTTTACTACTGAATCAGCTCTTGAAAATGGTTGTCGACTGAAAAGAAACGCCATTTACAGAGATTAATTTAGAAATCGACAAGTCCTTGCGGCTCTCGGATAAACTTAGCCTAAATGCAGAGACGTTTGACCGTGGAGTCCCAAGCAAAAGAACTGTGGCATAATGACCTCTTCCCGTCGTTTGGCAAAAGGTAGGGATGTGCCTTGAAGGATAACAAGGCCCCTTTCAGTTCAAGAAAATCGATATGAAAACGTTTCTTTACAATATTTTCATTTTGTTTATTGTTGGCATCGAACAGACCCATGCATATGCAGCCTTGCTTTGATGCATCTGTGAAATATAATCTTTCTTGTACGTATTTCGGGGTACATAAAAGTTGACTGTTGTGTCGCTATTTTTAACAAAATTTGTTGACTTTTCCGAACAAGTGAATTATTGGGATGTAAAGATGCAACACTCACACCTTCTTTGCACAAACTTCAAACGACTTTGGGCCAGGTGTACGATACAATCCAACACAAAAAGCAATCTGGTATGTTTTTAAACCCGATAAACTATCCTATAGTTTCTCGTTCATAACAAATGAAAACGTACCCGTTACATGATCAATGCTATCATTTGACGTGTTTACGTTTTCCTCTTTGATGATATTATCTGCGATGTTCTCCTCGTTTTTCTTTTCTTTGTCAAAATCATTCAAATAATTTTTCTCCGTGGTTTGGTTAGATTCTTTCTCAACTATAGACAAAAAAATTTTTTGAAACACAATTTTATCATGCAGCTTTTTTAGTAGCATAGACAGCGAAAAATCAAAATATCTTCTCGTCAGCACCCAAGAGAAAAGGTGGTATATGCAGAGCAACATCGATTGCATACAGTTAAAAACACTATTTCCAACCTTCTGATGTATTAAAGAAGGAAGATTCAGCCATTCGCTTCTGATAACATATAATAGAATTTGAAAGCACAATGCAGTGGTACGTCAAAATAAACTACTGCAGCTCATTTTAGAAAATATTTAGGTTAGAGGCAATGCCATTAGTAAAAATATATTCTTTAGAAATTCAAAACCAATAGTGTTTTTTTAAAAGTATTTTCACTTTTAAATTGAGCAGCTATAATTTATTTTGACAAACGCTGGTACGCTAATGCTAAAAGCGGCCAGTATTGTCATTTTTAAAGTATACAGATTTAATACATGGAATTTGAATATATAATAACGATCTACTTAGCCATATATTGTACAAGTGAAAGATTAAGTTTCTTTCATAGCCGTAAGCACTTGTTGATCGACAAGAGAACGATATCAACAAATCACACAAAATATCTATTGTGTTCCATTAGAGTTAACAGTCAAACTACGTAAAGCAATTGTAAACATATGTCATTTCGATTTGATAAACAACTGAAAATCTACATGAATATACGCCACACAAAAGGTTAACACTGAATAAAAAAACTGCGTTTTTTTACGTCATTAGTTAAGATCATTTTTCAAAATAGAGAAATTTTTTGAACCTATTCTGCGTAATGTCATTTTCGGAGCCGTAAACACCCCAAAACTCCCATTGTGCATTACCAAGTCAACAAATAAAGCCAAAATATTAGTGCTTGTCATCGAACTGAGGGACAATATGCTTGATGACGTCAAGTGCACACCAAGAATTATCCAATAAACGCGTTGTATTTATACATGTATTTGATTTGTTGGTTAAAATAGCTGGAGTGAACACAAAATTCGGGTTGTTATTTGTGAAACACGTGATTAGAGGAAGTATATTGAAGACAGCACAGAATTGAGAATTTTTCAAATTGCATCGCTATGTCTCTGAAAGTGAATGATTGGGTTTGTGCTACGCAGAAATAAAAAGTTTACAGATATAATAACACTTATTTGTGTAATTGTCCCTCTGTGTGAGAATAGCAGGACTGCCAGTAATGCCAATATCTTAAACTTCAAACTTAAGAAATATTTCAAACTTTTTCAAGATCTTATCGTCTACCTTCCGTTTATGAGTCATTACTCATAAATAGATACTTACCATTCTTACGCTCGTCTCGATTTTTAGTGGTATTTAAATTTTTCTCCCCCAAGCTTTTATCTTCATAGGCGTCTTTTTCTTTCTTCTTGAGTTTATCTGATTTTTTTCCTCGGAAGGACTTAAATACTGTCCCAGCTAAAGACAAAACATTACTCTATTTTAGTCTGTATTGAAACTTTCTGTTCATCTGTTTATAGATTTTACTAAATTTCGTTCTTATTCAATTCGATCACTTTCTGCAATATCATTATTAGATTTGACATGTAGTTTTGTTTCTAACAGGGAAATGTGAAATCCAAACATTGATAAAAACAGCTAGCTACGAATGTAAATCTATTAATTCAATGAACTCAGTAAAAGGAAATTTAATTAATACATATATGAACTTATAAAAAGTAAAAAACCTAATTTTGATATAAAACATTAATGAATTAAGCTTGCAACGTTTTTGTCAACTCGAACGACATGAGTTACGTTGGGGAACTGGATCTCAGACTGTCGTTTTGATGTAAACATATTAATTATGCTGACTCAAAATGTAAGCTAAGGGGGTGTTTACATGAATCCGGAATGAGTTTCGATCCGGAATGAACTCATTCCACTTTAAAAGAAATCCTATTGCATGTTTACATGAATCCGGAATGAGTCACAACTCGATCGGGATCGAGTTCATTCCTAGTTTCATTCCGGATCGAAATTTCATTCCGGATTGAAATTTACTTTTTATCTCATGTAAACGCGAATTGAGTTTCATTCTGGAATGATATTGTGATTAATGACGAAGCACGCATGTGCCATGGGTATTGTCTTCTGGCAAATTGAAGCTCGTAAGTAAATAAAGAGGCTAAATGGGTTAAAATGAGTGCGAAGAAAAACAACAATTAGTTTCATGTAAACACGGATTGACATCACGTTTCGATCGGGATTGAAAGTCATTCCGGATTCATGTAAACACCCCCTAAGCTTTCTTTTGCCTTTAATTGAATGCACCATTTTTATTTGAATAATATGTCAACATAACACAGTTTAGAGGAAAAAAAATTACGTTTGCCTACTACGTTTCTGTTAAAAAACAAGAACGCCGAAACAACCAATTTGCCGTTTTTGACTTTGCCTCAAAGACGGCTACGTCATCAAAATCATCAAATTTATTTTTGCTTCACAATACAAATTTCAAAACATCGCTACATTAAGCTCTCTAATGTTAAAGTGCCACGATATTTTCAAGCAATATAAAATCTTTAAAAATATGTAAACAATTCAAATATTTCTGGAATCAATGCAATACTAGAGCTGAGCAGAGAGTAACAAACTCATATAAACAAAAAAGAAAATGTCAGATTGCAATCACTAGGAACCTATACACAGGAACGTCAAATACTTCACATACTCGTGCACAAAAAATACCACTCCAATTGTTATTTACGCCATTTTGAGATATAAAATGAAAAATCTTTAGAGATAAAATGGTGCAAAAGAGTTAAAGGCACTTTAGAAAATGTCAAAGATCTAATTTTATATTTAAATAAGAATCTTAGAACAAATAATTATTATGATTATTTATACCTCGTTTTCGAAATGTCGAGGGTTGTTTGTCCTTAGCTCTTACATCAAGAAAGCTTTTTGCGAGGTCGACTTCATCGTTTTGCTTTTCTTTGTGGAAATTATCCAAGTTCTTATTGTCCATGTTTAGTTCGGATACTCCTGCATCTAAAGAATGAAGTTATTTTTGATTTTAAAATTTACTGAAATTTAATTTTTCTTATAAAAATTCGAATATAAAAATATTTGCGATCGACAATTTTACTGATCAATTCCTACGTCAATGACATGCACTGCAATTTTAATAATGATCAGAAATTACGTTATGCATATATTTATGATAGACATTCCTTTCATGAGTTAACAAGCTGCAAGCAAGCAACATGCAGCTCGGAACTAAAAGGTTCCCAATGAACGGGTGGCGTTAAGCTTATAGAACTTTTAAAATCAAAATTTTAGAGTTGGGCTTGAAATTCTTTATTAATACTTTTTGATTCTTAGTAAAACTACATTACACAAGTAATTTTTTATTAGAATATAACTATTTGCGTCGGACAATTTTCATTAATTAATTTCTTTCATCTATAACATGAATTAAAATTTATTACGATATTTACGTATATGCACAATTGAAATTAGCAATGATAAAACAAACTTTTTTACTTCAAACATGTTTCGGGCCAATGAAATTGGAAGAAGCTTACACAACTTTAAAAATCAAAATTTTAAAGATTATTCATGGATACGTGCCCTTTACATCTTTCTTTCTTTTCCCCCTATTCAAAACTAAAAGCAAAATTCCACACTTCTAAATTCTCATTAAAAATTATCTATTCAGTTTTTGATCAGCTTTTGCTAAATGTCTTTGTACCCGATGAATTTTTGCGGTATCACGTATGTTTTGATTTATTACCTACATGAAATATTACTCAACAAGCAAATTTTGACAGCGGTAGTCACGGGCTAAACACTTTATTAACATTATTACCAGCAAGAACAATAAGAGAAAGACATTCTTCGATCGACATGTCTACTTATAAAAAGCAACATTCTTTCATAAGGCTTGTTTTAATTGTTTTTATAAATAGTTAATTGTTGAGGCTACTTAGTTAAATCAATGGTCTTTTGGAGAACAGCAATTACACTGAAGGCTATAGAATATGTAAAAATAAAAATAATAATGACAAAAGCTCTTGTTTCTACGAAAATGTTAAAGGCATATTTTTATACCCTTCAATAACAAAAAACTTAAATCAAACACCGGCTTTGTTTGCACTCCATTCCTTAAATAGGTTATATAAACATATGCTATAGACTGTCTATGCAACTAATTTGTGTTTATAAAAATCACAGACATTTACGATCATAATCGAAAAAAATCGGGAGTCAGCACTCCATAAAAACTGCGCGAATTTATTTAGAGGCAATTCCATTAGTAAAATTATATTCTTTAGAAATTTGAAACCAATGGTGTGTTTTTTAAACTATTTTCAATTTGAAATTGAGCGACTATAATTTATTTTCACAAACGCTGGATCCGCTACTGCTAACTAAAAGCGGCCATTATTGTCATTTTTAATTATACAGATTCAATACATGGAATTTGAATATATAATAACGATCTACTTAGCCATATAATGTACAAGTGAAAGATTAAGTTCCTTTAATAGCCGTAAGCACTTGTTGATCGACAAGAGAACGACATCAACAAATCACCCAAAATATTTATTGTGTTCCATTAGAGTTAACAGTCAAACTACGTAAAGCAATTGTAAACATATGTCATTTCAATTTGATAAGCTAAGCTTTCTTTTGCCTTTAATTTAATGCAGCATTTTTATTTGAATAATATGTCAACATAACACAGTTTAGAGAAAAAAAATTACGTTTACCTGCTACGTTTCTGTTAAAAAACAAAAACGACGAAACAACCAACTTGCCGTTTTTGACTTTGCCTCAAAGACGGCTACGTCATCAAAATCGTCAAATTTACTTTCGCTTCACGTTACAAATTTCAAAACATCGCTACATTAAGCTCTCTAATGTTAAAGTACCACGATATTTTCAAGCAATATAAAATCTTTAAGAATATGTAAACAATTCAAATATTTCTGGAACCAATGCAATACTAGAGCTGAGCAGAGAGTAACAAACTCATATAAACAAAAAAGGAAATGTCAGATTGCAATCACCAGGAACCTATACACAGGAACGTCAAATACTTCACATACTCGTGCACAAAAAATACCACTCCCATTGTTATTTACGCCATTTTGAGATATAAAATGAGAAATCTTGAGAGATAAAATGGTGCGAAAGAGTTAAAGGCACTTTAGAAAATGACAAAGATCTAATTTTATATTTAAATAAGAATCTTAGAACAAATAATTATTAAGATTATTTATACCTCGTTCTCGAAATGTCGAGGGTTGTTTGTCTATAGCTCTTACATCAGGAAGGCTTTCTGCGTGGTCGACTTCATCGTTTTGCTTTTCTTTGTGGAACTGATCCAAGTTCTTATTGTCCATGGTTGGTTGCGATTTTCCTGCATCTAAAGAATGAAGTTATTTTTGATTTTTAAAATTTACTGAAATTTAATTTTTCTTATAAAAATTCGAATATAAAAATATTTGCGATCGACAATTTCACTGATCAATTCCTACGTCATTGACATGCACTGCAATTTTCATAATGTTCAGAAATAACGTCATGTATATATTTATGTTAGACATTGCATTCATGAGTTAACAAGCTGCAAACATGCAACATGCAGCTCGGAACTAAAAGGTTCCCAATGAACGGGTGACGTTAAGCTTATAGAACTTTTAAAATCAAAATTTTAGAGTTGGGCTTAAAGTTCTTTATTAACACTTTTTGATTCTTAGTAAAACTACATTACACGAGTAATTTTTTATTAGAATATAACTATTTGCATAGGACAATTTTCATTAATTAATTTCTTTCATCTATAACATGAATTAAAATTTATTACTTTATTTACGTAGATGCGCAATTGAAATTAGCAATGATAAAACAAACTTTTTATTTTAAACATGTTTCGGGCCAATGAAATTGGAAGAAACTTCCACAACTTTTAAAGTCAAAATATTAAAGATTATTCATGGCTACGTACCCTTTACATCTTTCTTTCCTTTCCCTCTTTTGAAAACTAAAAGCAAAATTACACACTTCTAAATTCTCATTGAAAATTATCTATTCAGTTTTTGATCAGCTTTTGCTAAATATCTTTGTACCCGATGAGTTTTTGCGGTTTCACGTATGCTTGATTAATCAACTACATGAAATATTATTCAACAAGCAATTTTTGACAGCAGTAGCTACGGGCTAAACACATTATTAACATTATTAATAGCAAGAACAAGGAGAGAAAGACATTCTTAAATTGACATGTCTACTTATAAAAAGCAACATTCTTTCATATGGCTTGTTTTAATTGTTTTTATAAATAGTTAATTGTTGAGGCTACTTAGTTAAATTGATGGTCATTTGGAGAACAGTACTTACACTGAAGGCTATATAATATGTAAAAATAAAAATGATAACAAACCTATTGATTCTACGAAAGTGTTAAAGGCATATTTTTATACCCTTCAATAACAAAAAAACTCAAATCAAACACCGGCTTTATTTGCACTTCATTCCTTAAATAGGTTATATAAACATGTGCTATAAGGAATGTCTATGCAACTAATTTGTGTTTATAAAAATCACAGACATTTCCCATCATAAGCGAAAAAAAGCCGGAGTCAGCATTCCATAAAAATTGCGCGAATTTATTTATCAACCTATTTTTTGTTACGTATTACGTGTTCTTGCTTTATTGAGATGCTTCAATGACTTTGTCATCTTAGGAATGCAGCTACGAATGTTTGGTCTTTAGATGTAAATCATTGACCTAATTATTCAATTCTAGTTAAAATGTGTTTGCTACTCATGTTTACTTTACCCTACGTTGTCTATAGACAACTGCATGTGTTTTGATACACCAAAATGTATCGAAACTGAAAGTAAACATTCTTATGATTAGCAATTCAAATTATCAATTGCAATACACCAATTAATAACAAGGGATCCGCCCAATCTAGTAGGTGTTAAAATTCTTCAAGCTGATGAAATCACAAATTTTTGAGATTAATAACTTGTAAAGAGAAAACTTCTTTAATTTGGTTGTAAAAATCAAAATCCATTTACAATTCATCTTTTACACCGATTTTCAAATTGTGTACCAGCACAGCATTTGGTATTGAAGCGAGTCCACCTACTTTTCTAATAATGATATATTAATTCTAAATCGATAAGTTACATTTTACGGTTATTTATCGCCTCATCAAGACGGGTTTCATTATAGAAAAATCTGCATGAGTAACTATTGGTTGGCAATTTTTATTACATTTGATGAAAATTTTCAATATTTAATGGAATCCAATTTTAATATACGTTGAAATCATTGCTTAATCCTCCAGTATTGAAAACATTACATGCACTTTACTGATAACGACCGTGTGAATCAAAATCATGCTTTCGCTATCTCTCTACCCATCACATACCAAAAAATACGAAACATTACAAAAAGAAACGTAGTCCTTTTCTGTCAACCATTCGTATTTCGAAAACATTGCATATCAGCATTATATCTAACACATTATAATTCATACCTCGCTTCATTGTAGAGTTCAGTTTAAGAAGCACAAATCAAAACAGCAAATCAGGATCTCTTTCACCCAGCGGTCTCATAAAACTATTCAGTTCTGAAAGAACATCGCAGTAATATATAACTAAGTATACTTTAGGTGTGGCGGATGTAGGGTAGGTCAAAATACATTATGGAAGCTCATTTTAAATTTAAAATACTTTTTTAACAACGCTGTTGGTTGGAAATTTCTAAAGAATATTTAAGACTAAAATACTACCAATAGGATTTGCTGTAAACTATTTTAAAGTAAAAATATATTTTCATTGATAACAACTGTTATTGCATTGTAGAAAAATGCGTAGGTATAAACTTCACGCTGAGAACATGTTTGACTAAACAGTTTCTTATTTATATGCGTCGTCAAAGCAACTATATGTAGGTGGTTTAATTGAAAAATAATTTAATGAAGAGTTAAATATGTACGACGGAATTTCAAATATTTTTCTCTTCTTTAATTATAACTGTTCGACTAATCCTTACAGTAAAACTTTTCAAAATTCAATCAGTAAGAAAGTTGTCCTGTTTAGATAAACATAAAAATATTTTCAAACAAGTTAATTATCGATGATTAACTGAGCTCTGCCGGCATAGTAATATGGAGACGAATTTTGTTCAGAAAGAAAATAAATGAGCTGCTGATTTAATATCCTCTTCATAGGGATGCTTCCATAAACTAGTAATGTTTAGTAATTTAGATTCGAAATTAAGGCTCTTAGGTACGTTGAAATCGTTTTTGCAATAAAGTATTTTAGTTTTAGAATTGGCCAAAAAGAAGCAACCTGATCATTATGCGTCAAACCTTCATATATAGCATAAAAAAAACACAAAACATACCTTGTTGTAACATCGATTCTTAACGATCATGACTTATGCTTTACAAATACATATCAAAACTGAAAGTATGGTTCTTCTTCAGCGAATTAATTCATTAAACATTAATGAGTTCTAGGAAGAACATTTCAGTTATGTAACTACAACTACACATATAACTGACCAAAAATTTTTACCAATGATCAAAAATTTGGCCATCAGGCCAAAAAGAAGCAACCTGATCATTAAGCGTTAAACCTTCTTATATAGCATAAAAAACACAAAACATACCTTGTTGTAGCATCGATTCTTAACGATCATGACTTATGCTTTACAAATACATATGAAAACTGAAAGTATGGCTCTTCTTCGGCAAATTGATTCATTGCATATTAATGAGTTCTAGGAAGAACATTTCAGTTATGTAATTATAACTATATTTATCACTGACCAAAAATTTTTACCAATAACCAAAAATTTGGCCGTCAGGCCAAAAAGAAGCAACCTGATCAGTATGCGCCAAACCTTATATAGCATAAAAAAAACACAAAACATACCTTGTTGTAGCATCGATTCTTAACGATCATGACTTATGCTTTACAAATACATATCAAAACTGAAAGTATGGCTCTTGTTCAGCGAATTGATTCATTGCACATTAATGAGTTCTAGGAAGAACATTTCAGTTATGTAATTATAACTATATTTATCACTGACCAAAAATTTTTATCAATGACCAAAAATTTGGCCATCTGGCAAAGAAGCAACCTGATCATTATGCGTCAAACCTTCTTATATAGCATAAAAAAACACAAAACATACCTTGTTGTAGCATCGATTCTTAACGATCATGACTTATGCTTTACAAATACATATCAAAACTGAAAGTATGGTTCTTCTTCAGCGAATTAATTCATTAAACATTAATGAGTTCTAGGAAGAACATTTCAGTTATGTAACTATAACTATATTTATCACTAACCAAAAATTTTTACCAATAACCAAAACTTTGGCCATCAGGCCAACCAAAAAGAAACAACCTGATCATTATGCGTCAAACCTTCATATATAGCATAAAAACACAAAACATACCTTGTTGTAGCATGATTCTTAACGATCCATGAGTTATGTTTTACAAATACATATCAAAACTGAAAGTATGGTTCTTCTTCAGCGAATTGATTCATTAAACATTAATGAGTTCTAGGAAGAACATTTCAGTTATGTAACTATAACTATATTTATCACCAACCAAAACTTTTTACTCATCTAAAGATGCCCGCAAAACAGCCTCAAGCTGATGCAGAGCGCAAGATGACTTTGAAAGTTGTCAATAGAGCTTAAATGTGCTTTGCTGCCATGTCAAACTGTAACTACTTCCGACAGTAAACCGAGCATGAAATTGATGAATGTTTTTGGTATTAATTGCTTATATGATCGAGTGATAATGTAAAGCATGGTTTTTAAATTGCGAACGCTGTAATATTTGTGAATGCGAATTTAAGATGTACAACTAAAAATATATAAGACTATCATGCGGAATTTCAAACAATTTTTATACTTATACAAGTAACTGTTTATAATGCTTATCTAAAGATGAATAAAACTAATTGTTTTAACACAATATTTAAATTTGCTACACAACGAAGTCTATTTTTGATAAAATTAATTCTGCAAAAAAACTATCCTTTTTATAAATCTTTGAAAGAACCTTTACTATCCTACAAAAGAAGTCACCCAGAGCTTTTTCCTTGTTGATATTATCCTTCACGTTGATGTTCGTAAACGCCTATTTAAGATGTTTACTTTATGTCATGTTGTACATGTTGAAGTTTTGTTTCATACAGCCAACTGCCTCAAAAATTTAAAGTTGCTAAAGTTAGGATCATATAAAACTTTAAACTTCTGGCATCAATGATATCTTACATAATTAGTTTAAGCTACAATATAGTATCATCAAAACGAGTTTCATTTAAAATGAAAATATCCGATAGCTGTAGATTTGTCATGTTTATATGCCAGAAAATATTTGAGAATACGATATTGATTTAAAAGTAGACAATAGCAACATTTTTATATAAAAGTAGACTAGTTGAATTAAATATCTCTTTATATAAATGTTGCGCGTGAACACGAGAAACAAAAATCGCCATAATGAAGCCTCACCATGAACATAAACTGAACATATTTGTGTGAACATAAATATGTTCAGTTAATGTTCATGGTGATGCTTTAGTAAACTTGTAATGTCGGAAATGCAGTTTCGAAATCTCGTTTGTATTTTTTAAATTACACTTGTTTTAGAATTTGGACTTTGAAACTATACACTCAGAGTGACTTTACGCTTAATCTTTTCATTAATAACTGACACTTCGTTGCATAAGCGCATTCAGATAACGGTTAAGATAAAGACAAGGTAACACTTTCCTTCAAACTGTTTCATGAACATTAATGATTTCCACGTAGAACATCTCAGTTATATAACTAAGTATACATCAGTGACTAACAACAATTATCATTTAAATAAAAATACATAACTAAGAACCTCATGCAGAGTGCATGATAACATCTTCATGAAAGCCGCGATTTTATGATTTTATGTACAGCGTTTTTTTTACAATATCCTTCTACGTGTGGTCTTTTATCTTTGCCTCAAAATTCAGGATTTCTAGCGTTTTAAATCAGCCAAAACTAGGCCATGCTGTTCTAACTTTAGAAGAATTTTCGCTTGCTTCATTCTTTATAAAACAAATTTTTAAAATATCCTTCCAAGCAAAATTGCCATATTTATTATCATGATAATTAAATGCTTTTTTATGGTTTGATACCAAAGCTTTTGGTTTAGCTCCTCGTCCCTCCCGTTGAATAATGGAGCTAATACATGTAAAAAATGTAGCTATTCGTTGGGTTTGTCGTACCTTGTGGTAAAAGAAAAACTTGGTGGATCTTCATATTCCTCATCTTTAAATTATTTCATCGCTTAATAATCTATTTTCTCATCAAAAATTAATGCTTTTCATTAATTTGGCAGCTTTGATTCATTGAAAACTTTTTCATCTCTTTGTGTGGAATTTGTGAAAGCAATGCCTATGATCTAGCGGAGTATTTTTATCTTTTTAGTAAAAAAAATTGGAATAACAACATTCTACACTGACATTGGCAAAACAGATTTGCTTTTCAAAACAACACCGTCAGACCGAACGGCAAGATTAAGGATTTCAAAACTGAAAGTATGGTTCTTCTTCGGCGAATTGATTCATTAAACATTAATGAGTTCTAGGAAGAACATTTCAGTTTTGTATAACTATAACTATATTTATCACTAACCAAAAATTTTTACTCATCTAAAAATGCCCGCCAAACAGCCTCATGCTGATGCAGAGCGCAAGACTACTTTGAAAGTTGTCAATAGAGCTTAAATGTGCTTTGATGCCATGTCAAAGTAACCACTTTGGTGTTTACTTCAAAGTTCCGACAGTAAACAGAGCATGAAATTGATGAATGTTTTTGGTATTAATTGCTTATATGATCGAGTGATAATGTAAAGCATGGTTTTTAAATTGCGAACGCTGTAATATTTGTGAATGCGAATTTAAGATGTACAACTAAAAATATATAAGACTATCATGAGGAATTTCAAACAATTTCTATACTTACAAAAGTAACTGTTTATAATGCTTACCTAAAGTTGAATAAAACTAATTGTTTTAAGACAATATTTAAATTTGCTACACAACGAAGTCTATTTTTGATAAAATCAATTCCGCAAAAAAGCTATCCCTTTTATAAATCTTTGACAGAACATTTACTGTCCTACAAAAGAAGTCACCCATAGCTTTTTCCTTGTTCATAGTATCCTTCACGTTGATGTTCGTAAACGCCTATTTAAGATGTTTACTTTATGTCATGTTATATATGTTGAAGTTTTGTTTCATACAGCCAACTACCTCAAAAATTTAAAGTTGCTAAAGTTAGGATCATATAAATCTTAAAACTTCTGGCATCAATGATATCTTACATAATTAGTTTAAGCTACAATATCATCAAAAATAGTTTCATTTAAAATGAAAATATCCGATAGCTGTAGATTTGTCATGTTTTTATGCCAGAAAATATTTGAGAATGCGATTATGATTTACAAGTAGACAGTAGCAACATTTTTATATAAATGTAGATTTGTTGAATTAAATATCCCTTCATATAAATGTTGCGCGTGGACACGAAAAACAAAAATCGCCATACTGAAGCATCACCATGAACATAAACTGAACATATTTGCGTGAACATAGATATGTTCAGTTAATGTTCATGGTGATGCTTTAGTAAACTTGTAATGTCAGAAATGCAGTTTCGAAATCTCGTTTGCATTTTTTAAATTACACTTGTTTTAGAATTTGGACTTTGAAACAATACACTCAGAGTGACTTTACGCTTAATCTTTTCATCAATAACTGACATTTCGTTGCATAAGCGCATTCAGATAGCGGTTAAGATAAAGACAAAGCAACACTTTCCTTCAACAAACTGTTTCATGAACGTTAATGATTTCCACGTAGAACATCTCAGTTATATAACTAAGTATATATCAGTGACTAACAATTATCATTTAAATAAAAATACATAACTAAGAACCTCATGCAGAGTGCATGATAACATCTTCATGAAAGCCGCGATATAATGATTTTATGTACAGCGTGTTCTTACAATATCCTTCTACGTGTGGTCTTTCATCCTTGCCTCAAAATTCAGGATTTCTAGCGTTTTAAATCAGCCAAAATTAGGCCATGCTGTTCTAACTTTAGAAGAATTTTCGCTTGTTTCATTCTTTATAAAACAATTTTTAAAATATCCCTCCAAGCAAAATTGCCAGATTTATTATCATTATAATTAAATGCTTTTTTATGGTTTAATACCAAAGCTCTTGGTTCAGTTCCTCGTCCCTCCCGTTGAATAATGGAGCCAATACATGTAAAAACTTTAGCTATTCGTTGGGTTTGTCGTACCTTGTGGTAAAAGAAAATTATGGTGGATCTTCATCCTCCTCACCTTTAAAGTATTTCATCGCTTAATAATCTATTTTCTCATCAAAATTCAATGTTTTTCATTAATTTGGCAGCTTTGATTCATTGAAAACTTTTTCATCTTTTTGTGTGGAAATTGTGAAATCAATGTCTATGATCTAGCGGAGTATTTCTATCTTTTTAATAAAAAAAAACTGGAATAACAAAATTCTACACTGACATTAGCATAACAGATTTGCTTTTCAAAATAACACCGTCAGACCGAACGGCAAGGTACCACATTCAAGCTGTCTAAAAGTTGTCAACTCAATTGCGTCTAACTTTACCACCTTTCATATCGTTATGAAAGAAAAAAATTCATGATCACTATCGCTTTCACTAATAACACTATCAATCAGAGAACATTTGGATATGGTCACATTACTCACTCGGAGAAAGGACATTACGGGAAAGTGATGTTCTGTAGCGAAAACATATTTAGTAGAGTGTTTATTCAGAGCAACTCTCCAGGAGTTTTTGATATTTTCCAACCTTGATAGCAACATCGTGATTGTTTCCGTTGCAGGTAAAATGAAAAGAACGCTATATAAGCCGAAATTACCTAAGTCCTACAGTTACATCTTGTTCTAGAAAACTGTCCGAGCAATGAAAAAATCTCGCTATGATATATGATTAATAGCTGCCATCTGAATACATTTTGCTTTCTCCTTGAACAATTTACATGGCTTTTAAATCAATTTGAAACATAAAATGCAGGAAATCAAAAAATATCACTTTGCATGTATAAATAAAAAAGTATAAAATTGTAATGTAACCTCTTCTGAATTGCAGTTAAACATTTGTTCGTCTAAATGCAGGAAGTGCAGGCTTGTCACTTATTCATTAGTTGCCTGATTAAAATTTTCTTTTTTTCATAAGGCGCAATGAAATGCTTATAAGTTTTAAGAAAACGAAGGTGCTAAATAGCTATGAAGTCTTCTTCTACGGTACGTCTGCCAACCGAAAGTACAAGCATTGAAGTTTCCACGTCTCAAAGATCCATCAATACTCGAGGAAAAAAGACTGTTTCTGAATGGATGAAATTATACTTGTCGAACGTAACGGGCGTGTGGTCTATACATGATGACGTCATCATCTTCCTTGACTATGTACTAACTTGTCAGGCTCCAAATAATAAGTTTTGATGTTTCTAGCAAGCCTTAAACAAAACAAGACTAATATGATCAAAATCCTCAATGAGACCAACAATTATCAGAGAACAGTTTAATTACAAAAAAAAACACAACAATTGTTTGTTACTACATAAGGCATCAAAATGGAGAGCAAAGCAACACAAACCAAATCAAAGAGTCTCACCACATTTCAAATTCCAATGTTTCCAAATATGTCATCAGCTGCTAAAATTGTTTTATCCCAACTTGGATGAAATGCCATTGCCATTATTCATTTTGGAACATTTTGCAACAAACACACATGATTACAAATACTAATTAAACTTTAACCAATTAACTATTGACATGAAAAAAGTAAAAAACTACACCATGGTTGATGGTTCATTCTTGCAAAAAAAGATTTTGCACGATTACGGCACATATATAACTGTGCATGAAATAATTTACCGAGAACAGTTGCACGATGTTCTTGTATATTGGACAAAACAAACTATCCTTTCATTTTCCACAATTTTTAAACTTTGTCTATGAATTTTCAAACTGAGTAGTCGTTGTACGTCTTTTGTTCATTAACTATGCCAAGTAAAATTAGTGGTATTCCCCTCTCTCCTATATTTATTCATAATGCTACGAAAAAAACTTTCCATCTTTACATAACGCATGAAGACGGAAAAACTACACATCCAGTTTTCCACATCTTTCCTTTGAAATTCGTGATTTCTATGTATGCATAGCTTCATGCATTATACAAGCACCAGAATTCTATCTTCATAAGAACAGAATAATTAGCCATATTTTTCATCAAACTACAGTTTTTTAGATTACATTGCCATCCTAATGATGCATATTTAATGCACATCATTAAGGGTACTTTCCACATTGTTTTAATAACGTTTTACATTTATCATTCAATTCGTCATTCTATTGATCTGAAATTCACACAATAAACGTTTGAAAATGAAATCAGACAGAACGCATATCGGTGTTAATAATGACAAATTCGTCAATACGATCCTTAATCTCGCCCGACGATGGAAGTTGATCAAAAAATTCGATTGTCATGCGGGAGTATATTCTCGCTTGTTTTAGTTGCACAGTAGTTTCAATTACAAGTTATATACATGACAATCAAATATTGTATTAGGTAAATCAAATGACAAAATATACGATAATAGCGAAAAAATAAGTCAAGTTAATGTTTTTAAAACTTACGAAAGCTAAGTCACATACATCACAATAAATTTATGAAATAATCCTCCCAACGAGTATCGATCTGAATGTGTTTTTTGCATGTCTTAAATCTTGTGTCATCGAAGAGAAGCATTTACATCGACTTTTGCTTATCTATTTCTGTATCAATTACAAACGTTCAATATGCTGTTGTATTCCTTCACTTATGATAATTTTGAAAATTGCTATTTCATATCTCCCGAAAAAGCGGAGATGTGAATTAGCAATTCACTGAATAGGAAATCAAAACACAGTTTACAAGCTTTTCAATGACAAAAAGTAGCTATGAAATTGATTACGCTAACCGCACTTACTTTAAGCATGTCCAACATTAACCTTAACTTTTTAAAGTAAAAAGAAGCTTAGTGCAGCTATCCCCAGTATTTCTTGTCGGTCAATATAACATATCAAACAACGAATAAAAAGAATTTTACAAAGTTAAATAATTAAAAACTGCTTTATGCTTGTGTGTGCCACAGTTTCAAGTCACAGATAGTTGGTATCATTCTTCCTTCGTCCTCACCGATGACTGGTCTTAAAAATCTCTTTCGATCAGAATGATTCTCTCTGCATAAAGACCTCACTCAATATCCACCAGCACGTTGATGTGACGTAATCGTGTTCTAAATGTTCTACAAGTTATCACCACCAATTAAGTCGACAGAAAACAGTAAACAGAAGTCGTTGCAACATCAGTAGATATTGTGTCAACATTTACATACAGTTTATATCATCGTAATGTTCAGGTTACTCATGGCATTTATCTAAATTTAAGTAGACTATTATTTAATGGAAATTTAAGGTTTTTATACAATAAACTGATGAATAATTCATTGGGTTTTTTATTGACTAAGTTATAAAAGACAAATCAATCTTTAAGCGATGCCTTGAACAGAAATTTCAGAGGTTGTAGATCTGCTCGAGTTGTTCTTTTGCGTCCTTGAAGGTTACTTTTCTCCAAGCTGAAGGAATAATTGCTTCCTTTGCTTCATAATGTTCGGCTAGTTCTTTTGAGAACTTTACCATAAACCACTGCCAATACTTAGAAGCTTCAAATGAAGGATCTGGAGGAATTGTCCACGATTTGTAGTAATCGTTTACTGACTGATAATCTTTGTAGGGATGTGGTTTCCAATCTGTTGCATGATTTTGAAATTTACTTTCTCCAGCTACGTAGAATGTGCAAATTCCGCAAGATAAAATTTTGCTTTCGACATCACCATAACCTGTCAGGCCCTGGGGACGATGTATTCGTGTTGAGTGGTTACCTGGATGGCCTTCAATAGTTTGATCACACAAACCTTTACAAAATGGACAAACGCACTGACAGCCAAACATTGCAGGGAACAGATTTTCATGTGGAGCTGGATCCCATTTCCTAACAGTTTCTTTATGCACATCAGATTCTGCCAACGTTTTCACAAATTCCGAAACTCTTTGACGAATTTTTGTGTCGAATACCTCAATATCTTTCAAATCTTCATCCATTGTGGCCACACCAAACATCTCATTCGTGATTGCAAGAGTAGAACATTTTAGCACAAAGTGATTAATCCAGTTTATCACTTTAAACTTTCCACCTTCTAGTTCAACTTCATGTTTTGCTAACTGACTGGCAAATTCAATAGCAGATGAAATATTTGACTCAATCTTTTGCGTTTCCTTCTCTACCAACAATTGAACCAAAGAAGGTTCTTTGTTTAAGCAATAATCTTCCACTGATTCCTGCAATTTACCCTCCAGAAATTGAACTGGATTCTCAAAATACGGAACGAATAATTTAAACATACTTCGTTCTCCAAGTTGAATTAAAACACTGGCATGATAAGGACCTTTGCTTTGGAACATGCTCTTTGTTAAAAGTTCACCAGTCACAGCAGGTCCCATAGTCTTGTTAAGCTCTGATTTGATAGGCTCAAGAAGTATATCGACCAGCGAGTTAGCAGCCAAAACTTCTTTCTCCATTTCGTTGCAAAGATTAACAAAATATGTTTCAAGCCTTGGTCTCAAGTTCAGTTGAAGGTCGCGCCTGATATCTCGTTCTTCACAATAGCGATGTTCCATTTCATCAAAAATTTTAACAGTGCGTGCAAAGGTGTAAATTAAAATATCACAAATCAACTCTTTCTTAAATTTAAAGCATTCTTTTTCAGCTGCTTTTTCTATAGTAGAGGTTACTTCATGGTACATACGTGTTAGGTGATCACGAGAGTATCTAACAGCAGTTTTCGAAGTGTTCTTTGCAAAGACAATTCCTTTAGAGACAGCTTCGTCTTTGATATTTTTTGCAAGAAAAACGGCTTCAGTTTTTCCAAATCCCACCAAACTCCCAACCTTCTGTAAAAAAGATTTCTGTATAGAAAGCTTATTCGCATCAATGAAAGGATCCACCCTGTCAAAATTCACAATATTATACTCCTTATCGTTAAGTTTTGAATTCATATCAACAACAAAAGCGTGATTCGTATCACAAAGCACTTCTACCATTTCACTATTTACGTCTTTTTTTTGTTCTTCGTAAGCAGGAACCTCTTTGATCCATTGTTCCCATTCTTGTTGAAATGCTGCCTTGCACTTTTCCATATCATCTGTATTCTGACCAGACGTAATAAAAGTTCTGGCTTTTTGAAGAAGCTGTTTTTCGTATTTTAGTTTCTTCTCTTCGACTTCTTGTCGCTGCTGCAAATGATTAAAAGTGGCCTCACAACTTTTCATTACAGTCAGTTGATGATTTTCTTTATACTGCAAAATTCTGTTCATTATGTTTTCCTTCCATTGTTCAAGGGTTGAGCTATCTTCACTGCTTTCAAAAAAGCTCTTCATAGAATTTTCCATTTTCTTCTTGAGGTCTTCTGCCTCTTTACGAATATTTATTTTGCTTTGTATCCATTGTTCATAACGTTCCTTTCGCGTTGTGCATCTCTTCAAGTCTACTTGTACTTTTCTTTCAACTTCAGCCATTCCGTTTACCAAATTTTTAACATATTCCTCAAAATACTTTTTGTCTAAAGATGTAAAAGCTCTAACTTCAATTACATTTCGGAAATTGAAAATGAAATTTTCCTTCAGCATAGCTTCCCACAGCATGTTTACCCTTTCACGGAATACAGAAATATCGTTTCTACTTAGTACCTTCGAGCACATTAAATGAATTATATTATCTTTCACTTCTTGAACAGCTCTACCATAATTTGGGTTAATTGGAGCCATGGGAGGGCTTCCTTTCAAAAGACTTGGGATGTAAAAGACGTCTTCGTTTTCGTCAAATGCAATGATATCATCTAATTTTTGAAACTCTTCTTCGCAGTTCTCGTGTTTAGCGGCAAGCTTCGCCATTTTGTCTAAATCTTGTTTCAAGTTGTGCCGATCTGTTATAAGCTTATCTTCAGCGTCTGTGGCAGCAACATTTTGATGGACGATTTTACAAGTCTTCTTCTCCTTCACAAGTTTCATTTTCAGAAAAGCATGAACAGCCATTTGCAAAAACTCTTTCATTTCATTGTGGTTTTCACCAAAGATATTGACAATCGTGACATCAGCCACACCAATAGCAAATGTTGCCAATTCATTATCATGTTCTCTCAATTTTGGATCAACCAATCCTCTCAAACCTTCTGTGTCAATGATCAATATATAATCAAAATTTGACTCAGATCTAACTTGTTCACTAACTGGAATAAGACTAGCAAAAGCACCACGAGTACATCTTCCTGCACTTACCGGAAATTCCAAACCAAACATTGTATTTAACATTGTCGATTTACCGGAACTTTGAATACCTAACACAGAAATTACGTAAATTCTAGAGCTTTTTGTTTTGCGTTCCAACTTTTTAAAAACAGCATCAAACCATTTCATTGGTATGTAACCTGAATCACCATCCAGTAATTCCAAGGGATGACCAGATAGAAGAATCTCAGCTGCAGCACCAGCATAATCAATCGTTACAACATTCGGCAGTTGATAAAGTTGAGAAAGTTCTCTAATGATATGCTCCAAGCCAAACGAAGATCTTGATATTGATGCTTCCAATTCCTTTAAATGCTTTTCTTCCTGAGATGGAGCCTCTGGCTCAAAATCAAATTTTTTCTTTTTTTACGAAAGGAAAGTGAAGCCTGGCGATATTGTTGATGCAACTTTGTCATCACAGAAAGCGACGTCTTATCTAACGAATGCTTTACTCGATACAAATTTCTATTTCGTTCAGCTTCATCCAATACAGTAATCCAATTAAGAAAATGAATGACGTCGTCATCCATCCTCTCAAAAGAACACAATTGAGCATCTCTTTGTTTTTCAATTTCTTTATATAATTCATCGGTTTCGTTTTGCCGAGTCGTATTTTCATTGCTACGACGAACTTTTGGATTAAGTTTCTTCCTTTCTAGGTCAGCAAAAGCTGGTATATGACTTTGTAGCTTAAACAGGTTTTTTGCTTCGTTATACCCCGAAGTTAGCCAAGTTTCCATAGTTTTTCCTAAGTCGACATAAGGCTTGTCATCATCAAAATAAACGCCACTTTCTTTTAACCATTGTCTGAGTTCTACTAAAGACTTCACTTCATCCTTTTTTATATTGCGCATAATAGCCTGGTGAATACTTTGAAGAAAATTATATTCGTTTGGCTTTTGTGCTTTTGTGAAAAATGATAATTTTGTAGAATGTTGATTTTTCAAACCGTTGTAGAATTTCTTTTCTTCTTCTCGCCTTTTTTCGTTGAAAATGAGCATGTTTTTGCCATTGAGCAGCAGAGCATCATTCAAGAAGTTTTTCATGTGTTCGTCACGCATTTCTGAGGGCAATAAAATACACAAGACGTTTGACAACTTTCTAAGTATATTAACTTGCTTCTTAAAATTTTGGGCATCTCCACGTAGATTGGCAAAACAGATTTCATTTTTTAACGCGTTCTTGTCACATCCACCAGGAAGATACCACACAAGTTCAACCAAACCATCAACGACTTTCCTTTTAACATCACCACCTTTGATGTTTTTATGAAAAAAGAATTCATGATCACCATTACCATCGCTGATAATCTTATTCATCAGAGAAGATTTAGACATGGTCACATTACCCACCCGGATAAATGACACTACAGGAAATGGATGTTCTGTTGCGTACACCTCTTTCGCAGTGTTGTCAGATGAAGAACATTTCCAAGACTTTGTTATTGTTTCTAACGCTGAAAGTAAGATTGTTACGCTTTCTGTCGGCATGTCAGGATGAGGTAAAATGAAAGGAACGCTGAGTTGACATGCACTAAGTTTAACTGCTATATCTCGTCGTAAGAATTCATCCGAACAATGAAAAATCCCTAACAATGCATCCATAGGGTTAACCCCTTCAAAACTTTCACTTTTTACTTTATCTGAATTCATCTCATTCTCTTTACCATCGTCATCACTATCACTATCAGAACCATAATCATTTAATGTATTGTAAACTTTGCCAGGCTGGTTTGAATTTAATGGTTTCAATGTGAACTCACGTGCATGGTAGTCAGCAATCATTAGCGTTTTAAGAATATAATTTGGAATTTGATCACGAGAAGTCAGTCTGTCGTCAGTAAACGTTTGATTGTCGACAGTGCGTGCATGTTTCAACGTAAGTTTTGACTCCGGCAAGAAATTTAATTTAATGCATTGTGATAACGTTAGACTTCTGATTCTACCAAAGCCATTTTTTAACTCGTCTACTTTCTCTCTAAAAATCCCATTATTTTCAGAATCTAGAAAAAGAATCATTTCGTAGTTTTGCGTTATTTGTATTTACTTTCAAAAGCAAGGCATCGTACCATCCTCAAAATGAACTAAAACCTGACTCTAAGTCGTAATTATTGTCACGCACAATTAAAACACACTAAAATCAACTTACTTTGATAACAGATAGACAGTTAATGATAATTTTAATCCTATTAACGCACAAATTTACCTGAGTGTATCCAACTGTCGCGGGTAAAAAGTCGCAGGTCTAAAAAACACTTTTTTGCATGGAAAAGTTTGAAAGAAGTCGATGTTAAATTCTCAGGAATTCTTTATTTTTATGTATGCCTACTTCAATGTGCTCTATGAATCAACGTTCTCTGCTGTCAACATTAAAAATATGTCACTGGTGCTTTGGATATTTACGATTTGTGTTTATTATACTTATCCAAATATACAAAACGATGCGTTGTTAATAACAGGAATTATTATTAGTTTTGAGGGCCGCTAAATTCTCTTACAATTGAATTTTTAAAACCCAGTTCATAAATTATAAGATATGGTTTATTTATATGTATAACTTGCACTCTTCCACGACTATAAATTTGCTTTTCTCAAGCAACTAAGTTCTTCATTACCATTAAAAGAGTTGTATCCAAGTAAATCTTAAATGGTTAGTAATGCTTGGAATAAAAGCTAACTATTTTTTCGATAGTGATTAGTGGATATAACGTATGTATATTAATATTATATTTGGATACATAGAACAAAGACACGATGCCTATGAATCAGGATTTTACGCAACGCTTATGAGGTATTTATATTGACAACAGAGAGCATGTATCCTGGTTCTAAGTGTAGAGTACAGTCATAACAAATATCAGCCATTAATTCAAGTTTTATTTGGATACAACTCATGTAAAGGATATAAAACATGTTATTGCTAAGTAAAAAAAACTTGCCAATCGTGCGCAAGGAAAAGTGGAAGCGGTTTTACTTATATAATCTATCCATAGCTTATGAATTATGATCCTTAACGAAATGTGCTTACACCTTGAAGTGGATGTACGGAGTTTTCAACGGCAATGTCCGCAAACCTTGCAGTCTCTAATTATAGAATTACATACTGGGTACATTGGGTATATCATACATGTGTTGGATTTAAACTTTGAAGTACTTCATTGCTGTAATCGTGCATATAGTTGTGCACGTACCGACAGTCAACAAGTCTAGGAATTACTCGTGTACAACTAGACATGTTGTTAACATGACACTCAGAAGCAGGGGCGGATCTAGGAATTTTCAAACATCAGTCATAAAACGTCGGAGGCACTCTGCGCCGGGGGGGGTCTGAGGCATTCTCCCCTGAGAAATTTTGAATTTCAGAACCTCTAAAATGCCATTTTCAGCGTTTTAGAGCAATACAAGATGTATTTTGTGGGCATCGTTTTTCGGTAAAAACAACACATTTTGCTTACGTTTTTTTCAAAAAAAAATGAAGTGAACAATACTTGAATGTTTTGCCAAATATTTAGGCTCATTATCATGCCAAATATATGGCTCATTAGCATGTCTAGGAACGTAAAATTTATTTTACAATAATGCTATTCAAAAACAGATATAGTCTTTAAAAATTTCTACCAAGTTGTCAGGCATAGACCCCCCTAGAGACCCCCATTCAAACCTCTATGTAATAAGTTAAGTTAGAAATTTGGTACTACAAGTGACAGTTCATAAATATAGAAAAGCTCAGACTTCAAACCATGCAAGTTTATTGTAACCCTTTACCCATCTCCACATCAGAGCCAGCAAATTCACTTTTTGAGAAAAAACTCAAAATTTTTTCTGTCAAAGATTAAGAAAATTATCAAAGTGAAAAATTGCAGTTAAGGACAGCTTAATGCCATGAATGTTTCTTAGGCATTTCACTAGACTATTATCTTCTGTAAGTATATGCAAGGTGTGCTATATAGCAATCACTAGTAGCATTGTATTTGCAAATACAAACAGAATGTAACCAACATGTCTTTAATTATATAATTACATGAATGTTAAAATTGGTTCATGTGTCATGCTTACTGGTTATGATAAATATCTTTTCATATGATCAAAGCTCTTTAAATGTAAATCTGAAATAATTTAGTTTAGAAATTATACTGATCATCAGAAAAATTACCTAGTGATCATGAAAAATACTTTGCTGTTTTGCCAAATTTCAAGGTTTATCTGCATACATTGGAAGACATTTTTACTTTATAGAAAATGCTATTCATACATCAATAGCCCTTTGGAATTTATGGCAAACAATCTGGTATGAGCCGTAGATTAACACACCTTTACATCTCTACATGAGGTGTTCAGTTAGAAAAGGGGACAATATGTGACATGGGACAACATTTCATGTATGTGAAATACTCAGGTTTAATACCATTCCAGTCAAATTGTCAAAATAAAAAAGCTTCATGGATCATAAGACTCAAAATCACAGGTTATAGTAAACAGCTTCTCATGTAATCAATGTTAGTTTTCTCAAATCTTAAACAATATGTAGTATAACTGTCCAATGATTGAATGATCAATGATCATAAACTGAAAAGCCCCAAACATTTGTTTATGATAAAGTAAATAATAGTATGGCGCCTTATGGCTACAGATTTTTTTGTCCATTGAAATATATTTGCAGAAATGTAGGATTTCGCTGCCATATAACGGCCACGATTCCCCAAGCATTAAAGAAATCATAGCTAAAAGTCCTTCGGCAACAACAATTTTAGAAGCATCAATCTGCTTACCATACGCCATATTAACATAAATCGCATCACACACTCGCATAAATTGACTTTGATATATTGCATTCATGCATACACTTCACTTGTCCTTTACTTACGATTTTCGATGTAAATTTCTGCTGATAAAACTCAAAACAATGTTGGCTTGCTTTTGAACATCAATGACTGAAATGTCGCTCGCGAGATCGTCTTTGCCAAGCATTTACAATTCATCCATAAATTTTTCACCCTCTTGAAAAAATTCCCAGTTTGGAAAGCAGCATTCATGTCAACATATGAATTTGTGAAAGATTTCCATAAATTCCATCTGATTGTAGTTTAGTTTCTATCATGCTTATAAAAATTACTATGAAACGATCAAACATTCAATTCAGACAGTGAGCTTGACTATGTTAGTTCAGTTGGCTATCAGTCGAAATCGGTCAAACCAATCACAGTAAGACAAAAATTCAAATGAACCAATTGTAAGATAGCAATTGGACTCCTTATAGGTCCGGCCACCCTATTATCGGTCGAGATTATTCCAGACTGTCCACTGATCTGGCCATTGACCAATAAAATAGCGTTTCTGGCGTTCATAGACTCCTTTATAAGTCGAACCAGTCAAGCCACCCCGCTTATCAGTCGGTTATTCCAGGTCAATTAAAATTCAACTGATCTGGTTACCAAGGAGATATTCGTTGCATTAGTCATTAGTTTTCAATAATAAATAAAGCTGGATTTTTATCACGAAGTAAATGCGATAATAAAGTAAGAATAATTAATGAATTTTTAACTAATATGAATAGGTATTTTTGAATTTCAAACATCAGTCGCGCGACGGATTTGACATACTCTAGATCCGCCCCTGCTCAGAAGATATTGAATAGCATTGCTAAATTTAAAAATTCGTATGCATTGGAAATTGAATTATTTATAGTTATAAGGGAAACGCAACTTTCCAATAATCGGAAAGTGTAAGTTATACTTATGATACACACAATGTCCCAGTATGTAAATTCTATAATTAGAGACTGCAAGGTTTGGGGTTGGGGACATTGCCGTTGAAAACTCCGTACATCCACTTCAAGTAGTAAACACATTTCGTTAAGGATCATAATTCATAAGCTATGGATAGATTATACAAGTATAACAGCGGCTTTTTCTTTCCTTGCGCACGATTGGCAAGTTTCTTTTACTTAGCAATAACATGTTTAATATCCTTTACATGAGTTGTATCTAAATAAATCTTGAATTCATGGCTGATATTTGTTATAACTGTACTACACTTAGAGCCAGGGTCTATAAGATACACTTTCTCTGTTGTCAATAGAAATACCTCATTAGCGTTGCGTAAAATCCCGACTTATTGGCAATGTATGTTTGTTCTATGTACAAAAGTTTGTCCTATGTACAGACCTGCGACATTTTACACGCGACAGTTAGATACACTTAATTTACCTTTGCCATATTCTTTGTATTTATTCACATTTTCCTCTTTGATGCTACTAATGGCGACATTATCTGCCCCGTTATCTCCTAACTTTCCCTTTTGTTCATTGATGTCATTTGATGGTTCGTTTTTACTCATGGCTTCGCCTATATTGTTGTCGAATACAAGCAAGATTTGTGAGCAATTTATTGTCGCTTCAAATATATTCATTATGTATAAGGAGCTCATATTGAAATCAAATAGTTAGCTAACATTGCTCTTTTTTAGCCATATATAGTTATACCAAAAAAATTTAAGTATTACGAGCATTATTTTTCACCTGGTACTTGAATGAGCCAATAACTTTAAACGATATAGAAGTAGCTATTAAGATTTACCTCTTGATATTTTTTTAACGCATCTTTTTCATTAAAATAAGCGTCCAACGCGGCGCTTTTTTTCAAAAAAATTCATCAGCGATACACTGATGTTTGAAATTTACGATAATAACGATATTACGAGTGTGCAATGAAGGACAAAGAATTAATGTTTCACTACCATCATCATCATCAATCAGGGCGCCAAAAAGTTAAGGCAAAAAGGCAAATGACAAAATATTTTCTATACATTCAAGACTATGATCTTCATATTGAACAGTTAAAAATTAAAGTAAGCGTAAAGCCCCGAGCCCCCCGAACATTTTGACTAAACATGCGCTCGATACGAGACGAGTCAAGTTCAGGCCAATTGCACACCTTAATAAGAGTGGTGAGCGGTATTGAACGGTGTTAAGAAAAGTTTCAACTAGCTCAAATTTTTCACTCAATGGCGCTAAATATTTTTTTTCTGTCCCGCAGTCCTTGATGCATACCTCAACACTGTCTAGTCAACTTTAGTGCGTTTATTAAACAGCACACTCAACAAATTTGAGCTTACGCATGCGCACTGTGCATTATCAATAATGGTGACGCGTTTGCTCTTTTTGCTGAACTCAATAAATTGAATATATAAAGCAGTATATAAAAAGTTGCTCAGCATCGTGGAATATTTTATTCCATGACCCTATGTATTATCACTTTAAGCCTAAACATGTTGAAAGCGTTTTTGCACATTGCTTAACATCACACTACAAGCACAAGACAATTGTTTAGCACATGTTGAGAAAACTTGTTGAAACCGTTCCACGGGGCTATTGGTAATGTATTATGTAAGTGACATCTGCCGTTTACCATGGATGAAGAAAAATACTGAACTCAATCGGGAAAGTCATAAAAATCATAAGAGCATATTATTTTGTTGTTATTCAATGATAAACTTCAAACATGGTCGCATCATTAAACACGATAACAAAGCTGTATTTACTTGACACGAACCAAACATGAAGTTTCAAAATGTTAAAAGAAAAATATTACGAATGAAATGGCAGGCTTGACATTCCAGTTTACTTCATACCATAAACATGTATCGCATTGTTTCACAAGTGCTCACCTTACGATAGGACAAAGCTTTTCTCACGCTTTAAGTGCTCAATTTGTTTGAAAACAAATTATACATCGGTTTGCTAACATATTAGCACCGCCATGTTTAAGTAGTCAGGTCTTGTATCGCACTGTGCACCAACGATATCATTTGCGCATTATACGTAAGTTTAGCACCATCAACTCATTCTATTGAGGTTAAAATAATTTTAAATAAAAATTATTTTAAATTATTTTTCCGAAGTAGCTTAACGCAATCAGCACATTTTGAAAATCCTTGCTATAATTTATAAATACTTAAAACAAGATACATCACAAAAATTTAGCAGTGCGTTTGAGCCTATAATGTTGGTCTATATCAACAAGAACTAAGCACACACAGACTAGAGCATTAGTAGTCTGAATACGATTACGAAAGTAATATACGCAGCATTAATGCTCCTACATCCATGCCTTAATAGATACATTACTATAATCATTCACTTCAGTCAACAAAATACGCATTGAAGCTGCCCACGTATCTATAATTGACATATAGGCATAAAGACATAAATTGTGATAGCAATAAAACGCTAATAAACATACCTGAAAGCTGCTTCGATTCTAGATAAAAAATATGTGTTTCTTTTGCTAGTAGATGTAAAAAAACGATAGAAAATAGCTAAAGCAGTGTAAGACTGCTTCCTCGTAAGTACAATTGCCAATTCTTGGAATATGAACAATTATGAGGCTGAGACCACATGACCGGAAATATTGAATAACGATCAGTTTACAATCCGTTAACGATCAGTTAACAATCTGCAAACGATACAGTTAAAATCGGCTTACAATACAAAGTAATTTACTTTGTCTATAACAAACACTCGAACATTACTATGAACTTTGCAATTCAGATAACACTTTCCCAAAAGAATCTGTTTTCATTTATTTTGTAGCTACATTGTAGCTGTTTATCAAGAGTGGCACCTTTGTGCCCCACTATCTCGGCATATCACTGCATGCCGTATCGTTAAGGAGAAATTCAACATCTTTGAAAGTAATCATAATTTCGAAAAAAACGGTTTAGAAACCCATCCATCCTACTAACTATACATAAAAAAAAGAAAAAAATCTCCCTGAGTAATAAGGGATGAAATAAAACAAGTATTATTTTTAATCTGACCATATATAAATTTTGCCACTAGAATTTCCAGCGCCAAGAATGCTCCTTGTCGGATGAAAAACATTTATCGATGTGATTGTGGTGAAGTTTGGATCAAACTTTTCCAACAGTGGGGACGTTTCCATTTGTTCCACATGATAAAATTGAATCTACAAATAGAAAAACATGCATATCTGTTTATAAAGTGAATGGTTTGAACTCGGAAGTATCGTTACATGTTTGTGGATGTAGATAGTCAAGGTTAGTAGAACTACCGCTAGGATTGTCGAAGCGTCAGTCAACATCAACACCAACAGTCCTTCTCAGGACTATACAAACCTGGACGATCTACATCCACAAACATATGACATATGTTTATCTTATGAAAATTACATCACAATAAAAAAATATTGGGAATTCATAGTTTGACGACTGACTGCATTACGAACGTGTTTACTATAGCCAAACATCAAAGTATAGCGGTTTAAAGAAGTAGGTGAACGAGGCATAACGAGCACTGAAAAAGATCTGTTATTTAAAGAAAAAGACGACGTGTTTGCTATAGAAAGCAGTTTTGACGTTTAAAGTCGGTGAAAGAGGAGCAATGAGAACTTGAAGAAAAAAAACGGACTGTTCGCGGATAAATTATTATTTTCAGCATTTTGGTTTTATTAACATTGACAAGGTATTCAATTAGGATATTTTTAATTTACACTTACGCGTCGACTATATAAAAGACTACCAATAACAAATCCACGACCTCTGCGTGGATCCCACGAAGCTTTAAAAGGCGTCAACCAACGATTCGTGTGATTGTAATGTCTAAAATTTGAACAATAATCATTCTTAAACATTATTGTTGGCATTTCTATCAAAGTCGTATACAATACGTTTTCTGTCAATACTTTAAGAGTAGAACGGCTTTATTTGTCATTTTAAAAGTTTTCCTGTTATATGTTAACAATAGACTCTCCAGTTGAACATTCATTATTTTAATTAATCAACAAAAAAGTAACTTCATGATCTTACTGAAAATTTCGTTTCATTTCAAGTTTCCATGAGGATGTAACTTCCAACACTCTAAATGATGTAAAAATAATATTATTTATTACAAAATTCTACTGAGATCAAACTGTTAAAGCTGGGTTTTAATGCATTCTTCACATACATTTTTCTGTAGATTTTAAGAATTGTGAAGCGCAATAATAAAAAATCTGAAAACAACTTCACAATAAACAATTGACGAATTTAATATAAACATACTTAACAGTATCATCCCAACACGTTGTCAAAATGTACTTTCCATCACCTGGAGAAAAATAAGATGACGATATGGAACGACTGTGCTTTTCAAATGTGTCCAAACTTGATTTGATCCCTTTGAGATTTCGTAAATCCCATAATGCAACAGTCCTGTTAACAAACAAAATGAAAATGTACCTTAACACTATTTCGTTAGCATTGTCAATAGTTAACAGTATAAAAAGGAAATGTTCCGAAGACGCAATGAATTGTTTCCACAATTTTAGACAACGAAGATGCTAAATATGAAGTCTTCAAACTACGTCAATGTACGGCTAGGTAAGTAAGGTAATATATAAACATGGCAAGAACTCTATAATTTTGCTTGAGGAAGATTAGTTACTTACGCATCGCTCGACGAAGTGCAGAAGAGATATTCGTTTGAACTGCTTGAATCGATGCACTTGACATTTTTGCCGTGACAAACATGAGTTTTCACTTCGTTCCTGTCAAGAAAAAGCAGTTCTTATGTTTATAATCCCATGCTTTATTTAAGAAATAAAAGATGTTTACTGTGTTAAGTGTGTTTGCACAGGCTTATGCGAACATAGGAGACCTTTAGGAGAACTCGAGAGCAGATCAGTGCAAGCCCAAGATCGAAGGTCGAGGGTTGCACAAGCTCGAGAGTTCTCAAAAACGTCTCCGAGGTCTGCATAAGCCTGTGCAAACACGAAAAACATCTTTTATTTCTTTTATAAAATAAAATTTATGCGAAGAAGACAAACATTTTAATTTTTCCTGTAAAATGTATTCATGATCGATTTGTAAATTCCCTTTAGCTGATTGATTGCTTTGATTGATTTGATTGGTTGAGCTCAAATGTGTTTTGCACAAGCTAATGTAAACACGGCTCTAGACCAATCACTGCACGCGTTTTATTGTTTTCATTTAATAATGCAATTTCTCTTATCCATGCAAGTTCAAATTTACAAAAAAATCTTCTCACGACACAGACATGCGTGACTACTGAGAATTGAACTTATCTAACATCAAAAAAGAAAGCTAAGGTTAACTGTACTTTGTTTCTCTAGTATCCAAAACTCCCACATAGCCAGCGTCGTGCGCCAATAAAAAAATATCCCGCGAGTTGAGAGGACACGAAAAACTGTTAATCACGTGATCATCTGTTGCATAAATCTACATAACGAATTCAATTACGCGTTGAATGCGTTAGTGGATAAAATTCCTGATATTGAAGTGCACCAAATATCGTGTGTTCAAACTTACTTCTTCAAAAGTACAACCATTGAAGTCTGCTCGTCTCAAAGATCCATCGACACTCGAAGAAAAAAGACTGTTGTTTCTGAATGGATGAAAATATACTTGTCGAACGTTACCAGCGTGTGGTCGATACATGATGACGTCATCATCTTCCTTGCTTGCGTCCTAAATGAAAAAGAAGACTTTACTTTGTAATAACATGTCAAGGTCCAATAAATGGATAAGTTTTGATGTTTCCAGCCAATGTTGAACATACACAAGACGATAATATGAAGAAAGTTCTCAATGGGACAAACTATTATCAGAGACAAGTATTTGTCTAGAAAAAAACACGTATTTTTTTACTACTGAAGGCATATAAATGGAGAGCAAAGCAACACAAACCAAATCAAAGAGTCTTACCACATTCCAAATGCCAATGTTTCCAGCATTGTCACCAGCCGCTACAATCGTTTTATCACAACATGGATGAAACGCCATCGTCGTTATTCTTTTTGGAACAACTTTTCGTATTCGATCAGACGTCAAAGAAAATTTTGATATTCTCTGCTTGTAACTACACCAATCAAGTAATATCAAGCATTAAAAGTTGACATCGTGAAAGGTAGTCGAAAATCAATAATCATCATAGCTTTACGCGTGCCACTGTTAAAAATTGTGTGTCAGTACCTTTGTGAGGAAGATGCTTCAACTGGAACAACGCTCGTCGCCATCTGCAAGAACGTTAACGCGAATCAAACAGTTGCAGCAAGATTGCATAACTCCGTGTTATTAATAAAATTGTTTTGTTTAGTCATCAAATAATGCAATGCTCTAAATAGCAACATTAGCACTATCTATCAATAGCAACATTGTGCACCATCACTTGGCGCACAATGATGTTATTTCAACAATACCAACCTTAGTTTCGTTGGAAAGCAATTCTAAGGAATTCATGAATTTCTTATTTGCATCGTCTCCAACATCGTTTATTGGGTTTGCATCGACAGGACCCTTTATCCTTTCTTCCTTTTAAATTTAGAAACATAAAACACTTTACTTCAAAATGATATTTAATAACAATTAAGACGTTAAAAAGACAAAACAAAAGAAACAAGTGATCTAAGGATAGTGCATAGTTTCAGAAAATTAAATACTGCTTTTAGTCTAGTAATTTCAATCAACCATATAAAATATTTTAAAATTTCTTTTATTTCTTCATTTAATTTTAATTCATGTTTCATTGCATGAACAATCATTGACTTTATGGCCAATAAAAACATTTTCAATAAAACCCATGACAAACTACAGTCTAAATAACCAGTTGTTTTCTTGTTGTGCACGTTTTACATGAAAGCAGTTTCCTTTTTGTCCATGAAGTAATGTTTATGGTTGTGTATTGCCTACTTTGTTTTTACACATGATGGGAGGACGGCAGGGCCATTACTGCCATTGCTGTAATGAGTTTGAAAATCCATTTGCTTAAACCAGCCAATAATATATGGCAGAGAACTTGCGTAGTCAACTTGAGCGACTGATGGAGGTCAAATCCAAGGGCCGCAGAACATTGATACTGAGGGGGGGCTATTATTCACATATGCATGTTTTACAATGAAATCACTTGTGTTTACGGATGATACTAAATGAATATAAGAATATAGCCCTCCCCCCCCCCAATTATCAATGTTCTGTAAAAATCATCTACATCTGCCACTGTAAAAATCGTCTACATCTCCTTGCACTAGCTTGCTGAATCACATTTATCAAAAAGTAAATTATTCTCACAAGTCACATAAATTGCATTACACCCTCCCTGTCCCATATGAAGTTTAAACCATGTATGATTTTATTTAATTTTAGCAGCTCATTAAAAAATTGCACTAAAATAGAAAGTGGGAGATCAAGGCTATCTAAGATGTATGGAAGCAAAAGAAATGCATGCATTGCCTTACAACAGCTGGATAAATTCTTAAGTCTGGCAGAGTAATCATTTCAAATTGATTCGAGGCTCGTTCTTTACTGATCCTGGGGGAACGCCGTACTGGTTCCACAACCTTTTTCTTCATAACGGGCCTGAAAGTAAGATAAAAACAAATATAAATAACTATATCACTGTCAATGATGTTGAAATAAATAACAAAATTGATGTATTTAAAACTGTAAAGTAATAAAATCCTTGGGATACACATGTAAAATAATGGACATAAGCAATCATTACATATAATCTGACAATACATAACACAGGTTAGATGGTGCTCTCACAATATTTTCCAGTGAGTCAAATTCAGATTTAAATATGATACAGTTACCAGAAAAATCTTGATGAAAATATATATAAAACAATCATATATAATCAATGCGCAAGGGCAACAGCCAAAAAAAGAGGTGCACCCAAGAAAACAACATTACCTCTTTAACTTTGTTGGCTGTTTACGAGCCCTCAGATGGCTGATTTCCTAAAACATATCATTTATGCACCATAAAGTTAAGTTAAGTGGCGGTATTAAGAGCATTCATTTTATCTGTAAGTTCTAGATAAGTCCGAAACAGCTACATATGGAGAACAATGTCTAGTCACATAGTACTTTTCAACACTTGGAGATAACTAGGAATGATGTCATGTAAAAATAGTAAATGAAAACAATTTTACTTTCCATCAACCCTTTAAAACTACTACATATTTATGCAGTAGATAGCCCATGTTACAATGTAATTCAAATATATCTTATTCTGGATACTGCAAAGAACAACATTTCAGGCTATATTGGTTGGAAATATTTTCACACTATATTTAATGTTGCTAAAATGATGTTCCATCCATCAAGACCCTTTCCTTTTAGAACTCCCATTCTCCTTATAAAAACATGAACTATAATCCACCAAAAGTACTACCACAGAGTTACAACTGACCTCGTTAATTTTCAATGAATCCAATAACTCTTTGTTCTTTCTAATGTTGGCAAGTCTCTGTTTCTCGTACTCTGACATTTCATGCACGTCATTGTCGTCAGATTGATCCTCACTCTGCAAAGTCATAAAATGGAACAGAGTGAAAAACCTGATACATCATTGGTGTTGTCTTTTATCAAAAAACTTTTGTTTACACTGCTTGAACTTTCACAACTTTCTTCATATTGAGTGTTATCATTGTCTTCATTACTCAATTTCATCTGAGTTGATTTTTTGGGTTCAGCATAGTTCACTTCAAGCTTCAATAACTTCCTTTGTTGTAGCTGAAAGAGACACCCTAATTTGATGCACTGATATTTTGCACGAATATATAAGTTATATAGTTGAGGATTTTAATTCTAAATCCTACACGACAGAGCAGAGAACCCCAAGCCAAAATTAATCAAAATTTTATAACATAAGGTTGAAAGGGAGGTTCAATTTAGAAGATACAAATTCCTTGGCTTATTAAATGTTATCTTTCGTAGAAACTATTATAAATGTTTAGATAAGCCCTTTTTTCCACGAATCCCATGGATGCTTTCGTTCAAGACGAGAGAGTTATATTGTGTAAGGGTCGAGGCTCTCGTTCATTACGAGAGAGTTTTGGGAAAGTTATTGTAAATTTCTTTTTACATTGAAATACTTTCATAATTCAATTTAGAAAGTAACTTCTCCTCTCGAGTAATTTTGCGATTAAACAGCACAATTTTCGGATTCAAAGGAATTCTTTCATCGCATAAAGACAGCCGTACAATTTACTACGTACAATCTCTTTAAACGACGTATGTAATAAAGTTACCTTGACAACTGAAGCAAACCCTTCTTTTTCCAAGTATTCACAACATCTCAAATTCATTCCGTATTCTTGAATTTCTCGCAGCGTAGCCGAAAGATTTTTCATGACTTTTCAACGTCTATCCACGAAAAAAAGTGTGAGAAACTAACAAATGCTGATTTAGCAACAAAATCCGCAGCGCAAGAGCAAACGTCAAGACGTTTTGAAAGGATTGGAGCAGAGAGCTTATTTCTACAAAGCTGGAATACAGCTCTAAAGCAAAACAGTGGATGGCCACAGGAAAACACAGTTTCCACACAAGCGCTCAACTATGACGTGAATGCAAAGGTTTATAGATGCAGTCATATTATTTTGGTCACTCTTTCAGAACAATGCGATTTGAAGTTGAATCTTTAGCGTTCGGAGCTTCTACACCATTTCCACAAGAAAAAAAGGGAAAAAACAGCACTGAACACTTTTCCGAGCAGTATTACGTATGTCAAACATTAAAAATGTGCTCAAATTATCATTGTGTCTGATCAACTGCAGAGCAACGGTCATATAGTGCATACATGAAGTATCTCCTTTGAAGTAACAATTCCTCTCATTATAGTTATAATTGAATTAAAGATAGCTGAAAATTTGTAGTATTTTTACTCAAGAAAACATTGTATAAATCAATACACAATGATTTAGTTAACTTATAAACATGCCTCTGGTAAAGAATTTAACATTTGCACGTTCAAAGAACAACAAAGTCACCCACATCCTCCCTTGCCTGGGACCATTTTTGGAAGCTATTTAAGTCAACAAGTTCTCACCTCACAAACCTAAGCAGTAGAGTGTGCAAGGTATTCATGGATTTGGTAATGCATAAAAAATATGTCAGTGGTCAACAAAAAAACATGCATACCGAAAATTTATTTAAGCCCAAATTAATACTCTTGCTTTATTTTGTCACATGATGAAGTTAATTCAAACTGAGCAGTTTTGAAAGTTTTATGACGTTAAATTTAAATGGAACATTAATTTTCACAAGGTTTAACTAGTTTAAAGAACTTTAACATTGTGATTGCCTTGTATAAATTAATAATCAATGATATGTATAAAATTAAAGTGATAAAACACGGCCAAAGATTTGCCAAGCAGAAAACAAATTTTCATGATGAATACCACAGCCTAACATAAGATTATCAACAGAGCCACAACATAAAAATTAATAAGTAGAAGATTTTTTGATGATGTTTTTTTGTCTTTGACATTTTCATATTTACACGAGGCTTCAAATATAAGCAGATAATTATACACTTATAGGGCATTAACTTACTTTAACAAATTTTCTCTTCTTTTCCTATCTATTAATTTGTATACTTATTTATTTTAAGTGTAATGTCTTGTATCTCCTTCATCTTATCCTGTCATCCAAACTTTCTATCTTTATTTGTAATTTAATACCCTGTATATATATAATTTGAAGCCTTACCTAAATACATACCACTGTATCTGAAAATGTCTTAAGTTAAAGAAAAAACACCTTCATCAATAAAAATCCACTTATTATTTTTTAATAACCTTATGTTGGGCTGTGTAGCTAATATTCAACACAAATTAAAAAAGCATGCAGCTACAAAAAATTAACCAAACAAAGACTTACCATGATTCTTTAGAGTATTTTCAGTTATACCAATCTTAGAATATTGGACAGTCATATGAATGTTAGAACAAAGGACAGTTGTGCCAATTTTAGAAGATTTGACAGTCATGGTAAAGTTGGAACATGAGAATAGTTATACCAACGTCAAAATACAGGGAAGCTATACCAACGATGTAATACTGAGCTCTTACACCAATGTTAGAACATTGAACAGTTACACCAATGTTAGAACACAAGGCAGCTACACCAGCTTTAGAATACAGGACTGAACAGGACAGTTACACTTTCTTCGAAAGTCATACCAACGTCCAACCATAGGATACTGTGCAGTTATACCAATGTTATCATGTTCTGTCTTTCATGTCATGTCAAGAGGTCGTTGGCGATCCCATAAGAAATTTAGAATAAAGAAACCAAAAAGAAACATGTTTATTCACAGAAATTGATTATGATGAAAATATCACGGAGTTTTTTGCTTACGCGACTTTAATTTCGCGCATTTTTCATAATTCGCGAGAGAATCGAGAAATTTAAGTCGCGTTAAATAACATGAAAAATGAAAACGCGGTCAACAACTGTGCCATTCCAACTCCACTCGTGCCAAGCAATTTTTAAATAAACATAGTGATTTTAAAATCGTGCGTAGTGTGCTTAATGTCTAACTTTTTGCGTTTTTTTTCTTTCTCCGTTTACATGTACTTTTTTCTCTATCTTTATGTCTACCTTTATGTCCACCTTTATGTCTACCTTTATGTCTACCTTTATGTCTACCTTTATGTCTACCTTTATGTCTACCTTTATGTCCACCTTTATGTCTACCTTTATGTCTACCTTTGTGCCTACCTTTATGTCTACCTTTATGTCACCTTTATGTCTACCTTTTGTCTACCTTTATGTCTACCTTTATGTCTACCTTATTTATGTCTACCTTTATGTCTACCTTTATGTCTATTTTGTCCTTTATGTCTACCTTTGTTACCTTTATGTCTACCATAACCTTTATGTTACCTTTATGTCTACCTTTATGTACCTTTATGTCTACCTTTATGTCCTTTATGTCTATTTATGTATGTCCCTTCATTTATGTCTTTATGTCTACCTTTATGTTCAACCTTTATGTCTACCTTTATGTCTACCTTTATGTCTACCTTTATGTCTACCTTTATGTCTACCTTTATGTCTACCTTTATGTCTACCTTTATGTCTACCTTTATGTCTACCTTTATGTCTACCTTTATGTCTACCTTTATGTCTACCTTTATGTCTACCTTTATGTCTACCTTTATGTCTACCTTTATGTCTACCTTTATGTCTACCTTTATGTCTACCTTTAGGTCATCCGACAAGATCAAAGAAAGCCGCCTAAATTACATAGATTTGAAATAAAGTTGGAAACAAGAATAAAAATACGAAAAACGTATTGATAAATGTACTTGATAACACAAATGGCTGTTCACACGACTATAAATATCCAAACGAATATAAATGTTAATAAAATTATCGGTCCGTCTGAACAAGGAACCGTGATTGCTTGTTAATTAAAGTTCGTCTCGTTGCAATTTCATCTTGAATTTGTCCAGTGCTTTTTCCATCGACTGAATAACTAGAATTAGCAACAAAAAAGTCAGCATTCAAAAAAGGTAGAGTGGACTTTTTTGCAAAACAACATTGAGAGGGAGCAAGAGCTGAATTATTTGGAAACCATGCTTTCTTGAAATTTGTGGGAAAAAATTAAAATGACATTTGCGTTTTTAAATAAGAAAAATGCTTTGTTAGATCGTCCAACATAGCGGCCGTGACGTACTTCCACACCAAGAATTTTACAAAGGCAGGAATTTAAAAGATGTAAAATCAATAAAAGAACTCACGTGTTACGGCATCCCAATAGTAATATTTATTTTCCTTATACATGCTTTCCGTGTTGTAAATGTCTGTCCTGATTTCACCAGATGGATCTATTTGTTGAAAATTTCGAAAATTTTGTTAAAGTACACACAAATCCTTACCAAAGTGTCAATTTTGTAATGCATATATAGTCACAAAGAAAAAACTTTTAGAGTAAAACTCTAAACAAAGAGTAAAAATTATTTTTTTATAGGAAATAAAGGCAACAAAAGGCGTGCGCTGATTGGTTTATTGTTGTGTTTTCATTGGCTTTTGCAAACGGATCCGAGGTCAGTTTATTACATTAACCAATGAAAATTTTCAAAACAATCATGAATTCATGTTAAAGGAAAAATTCAAATATTTGTTTTAAATTTAGCTGTTTTGCATTATTATTACTTTATAAAAGAAACAAAAAATGTTTTTCGTGTTTGCGCAGACTTATGAAAACCTAGGAGACGTTTGTGAGAACTCTTCAGCACGTGTAACTCTCGACCTTGGATATTTGGTTTGCACTGATCAGCTGTCGAGTTCTCCCAAAGGTCTCTCCCAAACATCTTTTCATCCCTTTCTTAATTGAATTGTCAAAATCGAGAAGATTTGAGATAACCTACCGATGAAAAATATCCGTGGTATGTATGATCCATTGATATCAAACTTCTCGTCGATGTATTCTTCTTCGCCCTTTTCAATAAAATAAATAAAATTGTTACCACGACTTACATCTACCAGCTTCTCTTCCTCATCTATTACAACATAACATTTTCTTTATAACCAATGGAGTCATGACAGAAAATATTTAACTGACAAAAAAAGGAACTGAATCACTGTTGAAGGATAAAATTACCTCTACATTGACCATGATGAATTTTTCACTCAATTCTGCAAACTTTTCTGATGAGGACAATTTCTTTTTCAATGCTTTGCAAAAGAAGATAAAACAAAAACCAAGAGTTAAAAATCTAAGAAAAATGAATGTAGGTGAATATATAATTTTTACAGAGTCGTCTAACAATTTCTAAGCATCCATATCAGTGAAGTAGCTTGCTGCAAATTTAAATCTGCATGAAAATTTTTCTGTTTCCTCACTTCGTGAGTAAAAACAATAAATTTCTAAATAAATAAACAATGATACTTTAAAATTTGTACAGCACGACCTAAATTTGCGGGCTCGCTTCGCTACTGATCGATGTCAAAGATTTACGAATTGCTGTAGTGACATAAAAAACATAATTCAGTTGGTCAATGTTATCATCACAAACGTATTCACACAATCCTGTGATGCGTATTGTATTCATTTATAGGGGAATACTAAACTTTAAAGATGAATAACAATGATATCATTTGCCAATATATGAAACCGACTTTTGAAGCAACTTCACAACGCAAAAACTATAAATAACAGAATCTTAGCTACCTTTGCAAGCTTTACACCACGGCTTGTGAATGATCAGCAACATTAGCATATCCCTAGAGTACACAGAAACATCTCTGTTAAATATCGTTTGTTGGGTTGCATGAGTCATACAAACATAGAAAACATAAAGTATTTGTTCATTATATTTTACATGAAATATTTCTAAGTGAATACAAATTGACATTTAAAAGATTTCTTAACCTTTTCTTTGAGAGATCAACCCCATCTTTATAGCTCACCCAGTTCACGTTTTTGCCAAAACCTGATTTATTGGTAAAAGCAATATTTGATTTTAGTTTAAACAAAAGATATTGAAATCTTTCCACTTCCATAAGAAAACTATACTAAATTTGACAAACCTAAATATACTTATGTCTAAATCGAGAGGAAGTGATCGGGAATTTATCTCAACGCTTATTTATAACAAAAATCCACCTACCATTGTCAAACGATTTTTCATTACCAAATCGCAGCAGTGCATCGTTCATAAGACGTATGACTAACAGAACGAAAATTTAATTTGTAAACACACACATTCTCTAAAGGATAGAGTAGGACAATTGTAGGATCTAAGAGATCACTGATCATGTTGATTTCTCAATCACGATAAATTATGTGATATAAGATCTACTCACTTGAAAGCTCGTTGCCATAAGAAAATTTATACTCAACATAATCTGGTTCCATATTATGAAGATCTTGTTGAACTTTTCCAGTGGGATCTGAGAATGCATGATTTGTACAAAATACAACATTTTCCAACTGTAAACTATTGGATTGATTTTATGCATTATAGAGATTGGCATTATATAAAATAATAGTTTGTGTGTATTTAAATTTCCATTTTCAAGTCAGAAACCACTTCATAACAAATGACTACGGAACTTGTCACTACAAATATTGTGCAACCACATACCTAAAATAAATAACCTTGGAAAATATCTTCCATCAACATCAAACTGATCGTCCTCTGGTTCTTCTTCATCCTTTTGGGGATAAAAACAATCACGTAGACTGCTTTTGTATACGAGAAAATGAAGGATAGATAAATGGCCTTTCTTTACCTGTAGGTTCACCATGACAAAATCCTGGGCATATATAGGAAGCTCTTTCGATTGATTGAAGACATTTTTTAAGTATTCACACGCAGGACAAGACGATTGGTGAATTATGAGAAATATTGGCTTTTGCCTAAGTAAAAATAATACTGCATTGTAATAAAAGATAGGATAAAGTTTTGACAGTTTTTCATAGGAGAAAGACATACGAAATTGAAGCTTCACTAAGAGCATTTTCCATATTAAGCCATTCATACTCCATTCCAAAACCTAATAAGAACAATTTAGATAGTACAGTCATGATAGTGTACGTCATAGTACAGTCATGACAGTGTACCTCATAGTACAGTAATGATAGTGTACATCGTAGTACAGTCATGATAGTGATACAGGCATGACAGTGCACATCGTAGTACAGTCATGAAAGTGTACATCGTAGTACAGTAATTATAGTGTACATTGTAGTACAGTCATGATAGTGTACATCGTAGTACAGTCATGATAGTGACACATTCATCATAGTTATACCAGTCATCATAGTGATACAGTCATGATGTCACTGTACCTCTTTCCAATGAAGGTGAAGGCAATTTAATAACGACCTTTTTCATAGAAGCAACAACTGAAATTTAACATAGCGTTAGTATGATGAATTATAACTATTTATAAAATCTATTTATCTAGATAATGTATAACTACAAACATGTAACGATGCTCTCGATAAGAACTACTTTTGCGAACTCTTATTTTACCTTCTATTCCATGTTGATAGAAATATTTTGCTTTCTTATCACGTCTGTTCTCGTTGATCACCTCTATATCTACATTGCCTCGAGAATCTATGAAACAATAACAAAAGGCAGGGAGATCATTAATGTCGCCGAGTTGTTAGATTTTCTTGTAGTTATAAAAATGAAAAGATAAGAAAAACAGTTTTGCATGATACAAGGGAAATCATAAAAACTTCTCATATGCAAGAGATTGCCTAGTGGAGAAACGTTGGGACAAAGTGTGGTACATTTCAGGTACTCAACAAAAAATTATAATATGTGTGTATTGTAAAAAAACCTTCCCATCAAAATGCTTACCTATAAAGAGTATTCTTGGCACGTACGTTCCATCTATGTTGTACTTCTCATCACTTGGAATTTCATCGTCCTTTAAGTAAGAAAGTAAAAAAATAAAGAAGGGCAGAGATGCTACTTAGTAATAAACAATTAAAATAATAAAAATTTAAAATACCTCAAGATTGACCATGACAAAATATTTGCTGATTTCTGCAATGTTCAAATACAT